AATAACAGTATAAAACTCAATGCATGTGCAGTGTGTAAAATAAGTATGTGAGCAAACTATTGGAAGTAGTTTGATCGATTCATATGAAACTCAGTACACACAACGCAGAATTGTCTTTTGTGTGCGTATAGGACATGACCAGTTTTGAAATGTCTGTGCTATTTTTTTGAAAAACCTGATGTTGGATGTTAATCACTTGAGGTGATATTCATAGTCGAGCATTAGGGAAGATGAAAGACATATATGTACCTAACTATACTTAATTTTGTGCTGAAACTGATATGATTCAGGATTTGAGATCGATATGGAGTATGTATACATGTATACTCGACTACTCGTACATATTAAGGAAAAGAATCACTCAGACAATTTTTAAAGCATTTATATATAAAGTAAGATGTGAAACTTAAAAGATAAAACCAGTTATGGTCATGCGACTGCATTGTGAAAAGATTGTTGTGGAATCGATCAGAAAAGGTTGATCATCTAGCATATAAGTCTTGGTGTGTACTGCAAGGTTCTAGAATCATCGAAATGATAAAAAAATTGGCCCAGTCTTGGTAAAGTTACAAGCACTGTACACAGAAAGATGAATATGGGACTACGCACAAGTGCGCGACACATGCGTTATATCTATCAAGTCCAAATAGATATAATAATTTACCAAATATATCAATTAGTAGGCAGTTTCTCGGCAAAATTTGTATGATCACGTACTAGTCAAAACATTGTGTGCGGGCAAGCACTGAATCAAATGACCGGGGTAATAGTATATTTGTCAAGCGCGTAGAAACATTACTGTTATAGATACTTTTCTTTGGTAAACTTATCTACACATTGCCTATAGAGAATGTCAAGTTTTTATGAAAGACACAAGATAAGATGTATATAAATAAGCAGTAACTAATAAGTAACAAGACATGGTGGTATACAAATAAAGTATATTGCTCCTTCTTAATGACGACGGTTAAAGTTGTCATAGCGATAGATGCTAAATAAAAATGTGCCTTTTTTAATACACATGATCTGTTTGTATGCAATGGTTGGAATCAACATCACATTTAAATATTGCCTTCAGTACAGCAAGTATAATTTGTATTCATCTGAATAATGTTGTGTAAATTTAACTGTTAGTTATGGCCGAATAAAGCTTTCAATGTACACCATACAAATATGTTATGTATCTTCATTTTAGCATTACTATAATTATATTAAAATCTTATGTCTTTACACATTTACACGTTATCACGTACTGACGTAGGTCATGCAATACACAGGCACTGTAGAACACAACTTATTTACAAGAAGTTACAATCACCTTTTTTTTAAAAACTTTACAATTGCATGCAGTACCAAAATAAGAATACTGAAAAACACTGCATTATGGACAAGTATGAATCAAGTAAGATGTTAAATTAATTCACTACTGTTATTCATTATAGTATACTGATACAACAATTTTTAATATTTTTTTAAATTTATTTCTTTTTATTTCTCCACTTTCCCTTTAGCCATGTACCTTCATGTTGTTATATATGTTAAAGGTGTCGCTCTGGACCTATAACATATGATAAGACAAAAAAATCCACCAGTTATTTCTGATTTCTATCAAATTTTTAGATTTTGTGTTGTTGTTGTTGTTTGGTATTATCGGCGTTTCATTCTTTTTTAGAATATTTACGCCTTTCACTTTATTTCTTTTTTTTCTTCTATTTTTGGTACTATTTGTCAATTCATATTCATCTCTTTTTTTTGGATAATATAATCTCAGATCTACTGGTCCATGAAAACCCCTCACCGCAATTGGCACCTTCCTGCCAGACCGGCGCGGTACATTGCGCAATCTTCTCGGCCATCATTGGCCTAGGCAACTCTGGTGCCGGTGAGAGGATTCTGGGGTAGATCTTTGGAGTCTCTTGTTTGGGGTTTACCGTCCTCAATCCGTCTTTACTCTTTCTTACCTTTTCTCTTCTAGTATTTTTCCATTTTGTAAAACCTTATTTTTCTATCAAAGTGGGTATCAACATCTTAGGGCATTTGGTTGTCGTGCGATATGTGCCAAAAAAAAAATGTGGATTTAGTAATTCCTTTTTGAATGAAACATGGATTTAGCTTCTTTTGGAATTGAATGGATTTAGCTCCTTTTGGAATGAAACTGTAATAATGTTGTTTACTTTCTTTTCGAAAGGTTATATTTATGTGTGATTTCACTATTACTATTAAGGAAAGGTTTGCTGCTAAATTTGAATAAAATTTCAGTGACTTTATTGAGAAAATATGATTTATTTTTTATTTTTTTAGGTACAATAGCATGTTTCATTCCAAAAGGAGCTAAATCCACGAAAATAAAAAATCTAAAAATTTAGTAAACATCAGAAAAGCCGAAGGGAAGATTTTTTCTTATCATTATTGGCAGATAATCAGGTCCATGCAGGGTGACACCTTTAACATATATAACAACATGAAGGTATACATGGCTAAAGGGAAAGTGGAGAAATAAAAAAGGCAATTTACTCAGAAGTACCCAAAGTGGATTTGGCTCCTTTTGGAATGAAACTCTTCACATATTATAAAAGGAAGACAAGTAATATAAAAGGAAAAACGAAGGCCCACGTCATTTACATAGAAGGTAGGTGGACAGATAACCTCGATGTTTTTAATCTAATTTCATCTGGGAGATCATTCCACAGCTTTGTTCCTACAAACGAAATACAAAATTGCCCTTGCGTTGTCTCACATATTGGTTGATAGATAGAGTAAGCCACTTTCTTTACACTGTAGAAGTAATCAACTGGGTCATACGACGTACAATACATACACATACACTACTACTATATACACATACAGTATTCGCACATCGCGCTCAAAAACAATAGCGCTACCAGTACCACAGACCATGCAATTATGTGCAGGCCTCGCATACCATAATGTGTACAATATAAATCAGTCAGCGCGCTATAGACATGGTTCGGATATTACTTGCACGCCCATATCCGATCGTCGTCTTGGCGAAAATTCACGGTGTGCTGCCGCTTGACCGAGAGGTGGCGCTATACAATTACACTGAACACGCCTCGAAAGTAAAATTTTTGATAAATAAAATCATTTGCAGTCGAACAGGTTTTTTGCATATAAATTCACTCTAATGTAATATTTCGGATTTATATCTTCAATGATGCATTCTTAGACATTTATTGTATGTTTTTTATGTTTAGATCATAGTTTCGTTCGCTAATGTGAGTATTGACCAACACTCAACTATTCCTTTAACTAGATGGTATTTTTTGTATCAAAATATAGTATATGAGTTATCAGCTTGTGGCTCTGAATAAACTGTACATAACGTCGTATCGCGTCGTATGTGATACAAACGTTTTATTTTGGCAATACGCTTTTTATGTCTTCATTGATCAATGTGGACAAAGAGTTAAAAAGTTAGAATGTGAAGCAATTCAATGTTGACATTATGATTCATGGGCTCATCCTGAATTCTTCTTACATAAACAGACCATTGAACTTTCAATTTTGTCGAAAGTATGGTAACCAGAATCACATGATTCTGTTCCATTTACACTAATAGATATTCCATAGGAGAAGAATTCATCACAAGATCATCCCCCACAAAGTACATCAGTCAGCCACAGTTGATGATTTGAGATTCACATTTCCATCTTTATTTTTCTTCCTTCTTCTTCAATTTGTTCTGGTATTATATATTATATATCAAACTAGGAATAGTTTGAAAATCAGAAAAAGGAATATTTCGAGTAAATTGGGGATAAACAAGTGGTAGATCTTAATCCCAATCTACCAATTGTTATTTCAACTTTCAAAAATCTTACTTATTCTTTGTCCATTTTATGAATCTTTCAGTAATATAATTCAGATCATTTTTAAAATCAAGTTGTGGCACAGGGGATTTATGTACAAAAAGGAAAAATAAAAAGAGAGAGTATATCAAAGAGAGAGAGAGAAAAAAAAGAGAGAGACAGAGAGAGAGAGAGGAAAAAGAGAGAGAGAGAGAGAGTATAAATACATAGACACAGAGAGAGAAAGATCGAGAGAGAAGAAAAAGAGATAGTGAGAGAAAGAGGGAGAGAGTGAAAAGGGGGAGACAGGGATAGTGAAAACGGTAGCCATGCACATTTTACTCTTTTGAAGTGTGAAAAAAAAAAAAAAAAAAAAAAAGAAGCACGTAATAGGCCCACTTAACATAGCAGACCTCCGCAGAGGCCAACATAGTATAAGCTCCTCTCCAAAATCCAAACACTTCTATTTTCAGAGTTGGGGAATCCCAGGTAGGCTAATATGACTTTTGTAAACATTATCTTCAACTGCTCTTTCACTTTCATCGCAAGTGTGATCTAAAACTGTTCAATGAAAAGTACACCTTCCCCTTCAAAATGATTCTGGAATGATAAGGGAAATCTAGATCTAGTTCATAGAAGGGTTACTCAAAAAATAAAACGTGACCATTTCAATATTCATGTTATACTTAACCTAAAACATTACAAATAAAGCTTTTGAAGTCAACCCATGCAGGTCACTTATATTGGATCAAAAATTGAATAACATTAACATACTAAAATTGTCTTCCGTAACCCAGTAAATTAAAAGTTAGGGGACAAATGGCCTCTAAATCAAAACAAATTTATATTTTAGGTTAATTCTCTACTATTCTGTTCACTTTTCTGGAGTGTAAAATGTAGGCCTGTATTCAATCAGGAGTTGATCATTGCATAATATACCAGCCACTTCGGTGGTAATCCACTCAGATTTCTCATAATATAGTACATATCCCTACCATCAACACTATCAAATATGATCTGTCAACTTATCAGCAGATTTTCGGACGATGTCACGGCTTGGAAGCTAACATTTCCAAGTGTTGTTTTTCGGAACATAACATTCTATGCAGCATTGATTATGCATTCGGATAAATAGAAGTATAAATAAGAAAAACAAACTTTAAACAAAAGATGTATAGAATGTAAACTTACCGCTTGTTGACAGGGGCTCGTGCATGTCAGTACTCCAGAGCTTGCTTCAGATTTAAACAAAATAACATTTAATACAATTCCTACCAGAGTAGGGAGAGATAGTGGAATTCTAAACATCTTTGCCTCGCTCGAGAGAAACCGTGTTTGTGGGCTTCTGAAAGCTCAACACGGTACCATTTCCCACTACCTGTGTGTGTGTGTGTACCGCGTAATTTACTTCCGGAGGCGGAGCACGTACCTGATTTATGGGGGATATAATTATGGTCGATGGGGGAAAAACTTTCCAAGAATGAAAGTATAAACCCGGACTCTGAAGTAGCAAGCTAGATAGTTTTATTTCTACGCTGTTGACAATGAAACGGGGTGGTATGCGGTATGTGCCCTAAACTGACCCGGGAAACTATAGTAAGTTCTGGCATGCATATACGAAAGGGAAGAAAAAAAAGAAGTTTGGACGATAAAAAGTACCTGACAAATGGGATTCTTACTGTTTTAATGAGTTACACATGATTACTAACTTTGGAAAAGTACATGTAATGCAATTTTAGGAGAAGAAAAAAATTAAATAATGATTTGAATTTCTGAATGCACGATGTAGACAGTGAAGCTAAGTTTAAACGAGATAACATAAAAGTTAAAATTGTAAACAGTTCGACGAGTCACAACATTATTTTTTGTTCCAAAATTGTAAATTAAAGCTTTTTAACATGCTGGTCCCAATTAACCTTTACAGTGCTGCATCGATCATGTTGAAAGTGGGAATCTAACATTTTGCAGAAAAAATGATTTGACGTTTGAGTTTTTAGAGTGAGGGTGCGCCGATAATCCTGAGCAAAGGTTAAGGGCCGAAGTAAAATCTTGTGGTGTTATTTATTTGGTTGCCGGTACTATACGAACTAAGCACACCTTGTTTATTCAGAAGACATGTTTCGATGAAATATTCCTTGTCGCCGTGTTTGTTTACCAAGAAATCTGTCTTGGTATAACCATCCGTGTTGCAAGAGAAAGCACAAATCAAACGAAAATAGTTAAACCTTTCAAAAAATTATCCAAATCAGAGAAACTGGAAACAAAAGACAACAATAAAATTGCGTTAAAATCTCGGAAAATCGGCGGTATTTCTGAAAGAAACTTCTCAATCACTATGCCACAATTAGAGACTTTCGGATATACACGTCGGCCCCATTGTTGAATCTACTTGATTTCACTTTAAAGAGTATATAGCTGTAAACTTTCACGTCTTACTCTTTAGTTATAATCATATTATTTAGTTTATTAATTATTTAGTTTAATCATAAATATTCTACAAACTTCAACAAGCGCGTTGCTCCCTTTCGATACTCGCTAATATGTAATTCATGTGACTTGCTCTTCAATTGAAAATGGAAACCATTTTAGTTTATCAATAATCTTGTACATGTCTATGTCTTCTTCCCCTCATGTTGCTCATTTCTCTCAACTTTCTTTTTCGCAGATCTAATATTGTTCCTGTCGCATTTCCTGATTTTCATTACTTTGGGGGGAAAATTAAAAAAAAGAGGAAGTTGGTCCGTTTTTTAATTCCTTGACCACTATTTCCTCGAAATTAACTAACAACCACGGACGCTTATACTCAAATAGTCGATAGCATACTATTATAGATCCTCTCAAAAGAACAAACCTTCCCCAAGTCATACATTTTTAGTCATTTTGTGGTTTGAAAGAAATGAGAAACACATCCGGCATTACATCAAAGTGACATTACACATTCAACCAATTTGAAGTGCCCATATAAATAACAAATTTACGATTTTTAGTAATTAGTAATTTAGTCATTAGAACTTCCAAAAATTCCTAACTTTTTTATTTTTTGTCTGATTTAGTTCAAACTTTGAACAGTCTATTTTTGTTGGCTTTATTTTAGAGTGGTTGGATTTTGCTTTAATCCAAATACATGTATTTGTTATCTGAAGGTTTGCGACCACGAAACAACACACACACACAAGTGATACATTATATACCTCTCAACACACAAATATTCAACTTAATTTGAACATAATCAACCATTGCAAGTAACTTCTAGATAATTTGGTTAATCATTGAAAATACATGACCACTACTAACTATGACATTTAAATTAACGATAAGAACATCACTTAACAGCAACAAATTACAAGAAAACTTTGATTTTCTGTCATACTCCGACATGTATGAGTAAGATTTATTAGCAAACAAGACAAAATCTGCCTCTCGATCACAGTTTCCATACACAAAACTGAAAATATACATCTTCTGCTGTTGCAATGTCAAGCCAAGGGCCAGGGTAATGTCTTCTTTTCTTTATTTGTTATTACTTTGAATATTATTCTGTATATGAACAAAGCAGTACTAGAATGCAGTAATGAAGAGAAATGAGTTTTCATGGAGAACCATTTCACGAGGACTACATTTTCAAACATCAAAGTCAATTTCAACGTTTAAAAGGAGTAAAGAAACCTTTTTGATTACACAGGGTTTCAAAGCATTATATCATCCACCAAAAGCCACAAGGGCATCAATTCCTATACTTTTATACAGATTTAATGCCCTTCTGGCTCTCAACAGACAATATAAGCTTGACACTTATACACCATTCCATCTCCTAATCCACATATTTCATATTGCATTTTTCAATTCAGTAGAGACACTACAAACCAAGTGACTTTTTTGTAAAGAGTTCAATTTAAGTTCATTCCTAATAACAGTCAAGAGACTTTTTATAATAACACTTTGCTTTTACAGTATTTCAAATTCTTTAGTATCAAGAATTCATTTTATATTTCAAATTTATAAAATCAAGATATTGTTTTTATTCCTCCTGTTCTATTTAGGTCCTGAACTCAAGGTCTTTTTCAACAATCAATGCTGTTCAACCAAAAAAGCATTTCAGCTCAATGACAGTCTTTTCTACTAATTCTATGCAAAGGGGACTTGACAGTCTAAACTTAATGACTCAGCAATTTAGTAGTACTTGACTTAATTCAAGAAAATGTTATCATACCAAGCAAACTTTTTTCCCACTATTGCAGAGGGGGGAATCCCACGCCCACACAATAAACCATTTCCTTGGCCTCGTGACAGGCCACAATTTCCTTCAATTGATGTGGTAACAGATAATTTTTAAATAAATTGAAACTACTGAGACCTGAACATTGTTTGTTACTCCAGTCCCATGCTAATTAAACATACAAGGTACTTTGAGATCACTATAGCGGTATGAGGATTGGCAGTCTCAAAGTGTACTAATCACCCTACAAAGGGATTTGTATACAGATAAAGTGTATACACGTTTACCTTATGACACTTTAAATTACATTCTATTGGGTAATGGTTAAGGACTATGAATATGAGAATAAAATTCAACCCTAATAACACAACCCAATTCCAAATTGGGTTATATTCAAGTACGTACTAAATACTAATGCATCGACTAGTAAACTCACAAGTCATTATTATGTTAATTGAGAATGTATTTAAAATTTGCTACATCTATTTTATAGCAGTATTTGAAGAACACATTTTAAATACAGTACAGCACAAGGTATACTTGTTGGTGCTTGATGCACTTTAATAGCAAGAGGGGGCCTAATACCCAAAATTGTCGGGTTTTTCCCCATTACTTTCTGAGAAGTATGTAAACTGAATAAAGAATATAATGCATCTGCTTTCAGTCCACGTCCACATTGATATCAAAACATTTTTTGTTTATTTGATGTGGCAGATGTTTGTTATATCCTTTTAAGAAATTTAAGTTTCTAAATCAAAACTATGACATATCAACAGTTTCCTGTTTCTACACAAAATGAGGAAGCACATTGCAATTTTTACGTTTCCAAAAACTCTTTATTTAAAAGGACAAAGAAGGAAGTCATATTCAGTCAGATATGGAAAATCCCTTACATTTTATTGATATTTATTTATTGTTTTGGAGGAAGCCCTAACCTTTTCATGAATATTACTGAAATCATAGGGTGAAATATATGAATGTTGCTAAACCATTGACTCGTGTGGTTTACTAGTAATACATGAAAGGGACGTATTAAATATCCTAATTTTGAATGTTCTACTTTTTGCTTCAAATAAATACAATTTTATAACCAGCTTTAACATTATGCATCTACCCATTGGCTACAGAAACTATGTTTTTCTTAATGAGAATTCAGTAACCATCCAGTCCATAAATGATTCCAACATTGAAAACCATACACATGCCAGTCATTAATTAGCAATGCTAACATCCCATATTTGTGGAAAGTGTGAAAATAATAATTAATCCATCCATACTGCATATGATGGAGGAAAAAACAACAATTCATTTCATTTTAAACAGTACTTCTAGTTCACCCTTTATACACTCTATTACATGTTTTTCCAAATCAAAATACATGCATGAATATCCAGTGGAAAAATAGAACATTAATGCATTTTTGTGCAAGTATAAAAGACTCTATTTTGCATTGTTTATACATATCAACACATGTACTTCAGGATATTATATCCACAAGCTACAGTACTGCATTTACATGTATCTATAACTGGATGAAAAAGTGGAATGTAAAGTACATCTAAACCCAAAGAGTACAGGAGGAAAACTGAAAAAATATCTACATGTATTTGGAAAGACTATGATATGCAAATCATGCCCAGACAAAAGCTTTGGTCTAACACAACATGGTCCTACATGATCCCTTTACTATATTGCAAACCTATATGAATGACTACACAGCTAAAGGGCAGTTTGAATGTTCACTCATCCATTTATCAACAAAATCAAACTATTTTCTATTCAAATTCATGTCTAAAATTAGATACATGTATTAGACATTTACAAATTAACTTCGAAGCATGAATGGGCTATGTATAAATAATAAACAAAAATAAAATCAAAACTGCACATAATGTTACATATTTCATTCAGTTCACTTCAAAACAAATAATACTATACACTATGTACACGTAAGAAGCACAAGGAAATAAATAAGTGCCCATGTTTAAAGTCAGAAATGATAAAAAGTAAAATAGGCCTCTCAAAATTTACAAGGTAAAATTTGCCTGAGATTTTGTTTTCTTTGCAGAAGTCTAAAAATATAAAGAGGTTGTGCTCAAATTTAGTTTACTTAAGAGAGATTAAAGTGGCAAGTGCTTTGATTTTCAATGAAAAAGACATCCTTTTATGTCTGAAAGACTGTTAATGTTTAACACTGTCTCTAATGAAGACAAGAGATTTATGAAGTATTAAATATTCTATCAATGCATGATGATTCATATGATGCTCAACTAATTTTTGGATAACATCACAACACATAATAAAAAGAATGAATTAAGTTATCAGGTCTTCATGAGCTAGACACTCATTACAAATAGCTTACAGGGGAAAAGTCCTACTGGCATTTCGGATTTCCACTTTCCTTTCTGGAAAGAACCACACAACTTCCAAATTCTCCCCAGCTTTTGTTCACATTTCCTGAAATTGTGTTTATATTGGCTCTGATTAATCTGTAAGGGAATCGTTAACTTCTCAAAGTGATTCCCCCTGTGTGTTGTATTTGTTCAAAAAAAAAAAAAAAAGGAATACCATTACTGCTATAAATTCATTTCACTAAAGCACATCATCTCAATCTCTTTTATCTTTTCCCCAGAAGTCATCACGCCTCTTCTTGGCTCTCTCGAGTACCTCAGACGCTAGACTGCAGCTGGATGCATTGGACATGGTTGATAAGGAGAGCTCATCGCTGTCTCTCCGCCCCCCTCCTCCACCCCTGGGTGGGGTCAGGTTCCAATCATCGGGAGACTCTAGACCGTTGGACCTGGGTGACATGAAGGAATGGAGTCTTTGCACCTGCTGAGAGGCAGCTTCTCTGGTCTGTGGGACGGCCGTCTGTGGGCGTCCGCCGATCCTCCCAGAGTGAGGTCTTTCAAGGGGACCTAATGGTCAGAATGAACATGCAAGTTAGAATGGTCAGTCTATTAATCATCTGTGAAGAGCCAGAAGGGTGTTACCTCTCAGAATATGTGTTAACATCCTACTGGCTGTCAGCAGATGAAATTTGAACTACTAATGTTTTATGACAAATGTTTTTATTTTTTAATAAGAGCATTTTGCTGCAATCTGAATTAGTATCCTGACATTCTGTAATTTAAACTTTAAAAGATCACAAAAACAGATGTCTCTAAAATGCCTGACCCTTGACGAGTCCCATGTTTTAAGGGTAGCAAGATAACAACCACACTAACACAAGAAGTGTAATATGTCACTTTCTAAGGTTATCAAACAAATACACATAACGTTACTAAGGAAAGCAGAAGAAAGGACCATGTCAGTTATTTCAGTAAACTTGGTCTGACATTATCCAAGGTGTTTTCAAACATTATTCATTGATTTGATCAAAATCTCTATCGTAAAACTGACAGATAAATGTTTCTTCTCAAACACACACCTGATAGCAATGATACTTTCAATCTTATCTTTCACAGCAGGAAGGACTATTTTTTGGACCACCTTACAAGATCCCCCCCCCCCCAACGTTTAAAAATAAATAATCTCAAATAAAATAACAGATGTGTCTTCTCCAAACCAGTAATGAAACTCACCTTTCCCAGCAGCAGGAGGAGCTGTTTTGAGACCCGCCCAGGGGGCAGCCCACGTCTTTGGCGGCTCGATCTTGTTTGGGATGGTTGGCATCCCGGGACTGGTTTCAAAGAATCTCTCAGAGTGCCTCTGGAAGCCTGGGGATATCAGTTCCTCGTTGAGAGGATGTGGATCAGAGGTTCGCCTTCCAGCTGATGGTGAAGAGTGCAAGAATCTTCCCATCTGATTAAGAAACAGTAGGATAGGAAAGAAAATTGTTTTTAGAACATTCTAAGTACAAAATTATACAGAAATGGTACCTTTTGGAAAAGTATTAATCATTTTATTTTTTATTCAAACAGAATGAGGAAAACATGTAGGAGTCATATGAGAACATGCATAGATCTTAGAGAACAAGAAAGAACAGACAACTGGCTTTATCTAATAATTTTTTTTTTTTAAATTAAAAAAAAGAGTGTCAAAAATCCCCTGCACTAACAATAATACTGAAAAAGACATTCTTTTTTGTTACCCTATCCAACCCTAATTATTGCAGATTCAGATTCAGATGAATAAGGCCCAATGCGTACCTGTTTTTGTTGGGTTGGATTACGAGGAGGAGTCTGCTGCCCCCGTGTAAGTGTTCTGTCGAGGTCAACATCATCCTCATCATCATCATCATCACTATCATACTCAAAGCCTTTTGTGATACCACCAGGAATGATTGCTGTAAAATAAAAAAAGTACAAGATGTGATGAAAATTAACTATAACGCATTTATGTAAATTTACATGATGCCAATATAAATGTACAGTCAAACCTGTCTATAGCGACCACCCAAGGGAAACACAAAAGGTGGCCTTGAAGACAGGTGGTCTTTGTAGACAGGTTCATTTAATACAGGTTTCAATGAGAAACCATTTTCAAGAGAAACAAAAAATGTGGTCTTTGTAGACAGGTGGTCACTATAAAGCAGGCTTGACTGCACTATACATAGAACATGATAGAGGATATGTGGAGCAGGCCAAAGTCATACAATGGGTGATTCCTTTTCTCAGATTTGGTTTACAGCTTCACATAACCGTGCAAATGTAAATGAAAGCAAAAGCCATGAAAAATCAAAGTGCCAAGCTTTAACTAGCTTCTAGTTTTTGTCCCATTACATCTGCACCTCTCTCTCTCTCTCTCTCTCTTCTCTCCCCCTTTCTCTCTCCACCATTACAAGGTTAAATTAAAAGCATATATAAATATATTTTCATTTAGCAATGGTCAAGTCTGTAATGGTCATAAAAATAGATCCCCTTTGCCTATTACACAGTGAGAAATCACCAAATCAAGAACACTTATCAATATGCAAGTTAAAGAACATTTTATTAAAAGGGAAACCATATTTCGGAGCAAATCAGAAAACTGGAAATCCAACTCCAGACTGCCTACAATGCAATCACACACACCGACATGCCAATATTTATGAAGTAAGAGTTTAGGACTCACCTTTGACAGGGGCAGACCTTGCAACGTATGTACGACTACTGGGCTTCATCAGCTCTCCTTGCCTTGGATAGGTCACTGTGGTTTTAGGAACATGGGTGGCTCTTCTTCTCGATGCTGGTGAAGTCAGCAAGGCACCTCCTACAGAAACGAAAACACATCAAGCTAACACAGTGACCTCTGTCGTTTGCTAGCCAAATACTTCATTCTGATAGGTATACATGTGAAATAATATCTGAGTAAAGCTGGGGTATTGATATGATTGCAAGGCCCTCATGGAGCACAGTATGTATACTAATGAGGCTACCCTTGGTAAACAAGACATTTATTAAAGGGATAGTTGAGTTCTGTTTTCAGACAGCAATTGCCTTCAAAGTGCATGGTCATTGCTCTTATTCTTATCTATGACATTTCTAGTGCCCTTTGATGACCTAAAAATTGCTATGAAGATAATTTTAGACCCCAAAATGTGTGAAAATTAGCCAATACGATCATACCAATTCAGCTCCACTTTAAAAAAAAAATATGGTGACCGCTAATTAATTAGTTAATTAATAATAACAATACATGGGCGGCTGGGTTGGGCTTATTATAAACAACACAAAAAAAGCCAACAAAAAAGCAAATATCTGCATTGGTTGAAATACAACGTAAAAGGCGCTATTTCATATTTGTTTTCAACGGCTTTTTCAAATTATTGAATATTTGTGGTGGTACACAAATATTAGAAATCATTATATTTATGGATATTTCAGCCGTCTCTGAACCAATTATGATCAAACAAAGATTATTTTGTCATTTAAATTTTATGTTCTTTCAAATTTGACACTCAGTTTTTCATTATCTCACAAAAAAATCATTTTGTGTAATGCCCTCTGCAACAGAACTCAACTATCCCTTTAAGAATAATCATTTTTGAGTAGTACCTTTGAACACAGTAGCTTAAATAAAACTCTTTAATTTATGAATTTTAAGATGCCATTTGTCTAAGCATTTCCTCTGTTATGTTATATAGTTTGCATAAAGCAACTCTTACTCATTATAAGTATATGTACATGAGTAAAGCTTCTAGCTTCTACTTTAATGAATTCTCCAAAGGTTTTCAATCATAAATTTACATGCTTTTTTTTTTTGGGGGGGGGGTATTCTGTGCTCTTATGATCTCTTCCAAAAGTCTAAGATCCAAATTTCCTGAAAGAATAATGGCTTAACATTCAAATATCCAAATGCTAAAGGTGATAAAATGTACATTTACACTACTTTTGACCTCTCACCCAATTCCAAATAACCACTTTAGACTGCAGCAAATTGAAATTTACTTGAACCCAGGCTTCTTGGACATCTTTATAGTACACCTTGAGGAAGTGTTTATAAAATGACACGTCTTCAGTCTGTGGATTAATTACATGGTTTGCGGTCTGGGCCCCGCCACGAAACTAGTATCCTTTGGAAAGACAATAATCTTCATTTGGCGCTCTCCGCCCAGGTATTGAATGGGCACCAGTAGGAAGGAATTCCATGAATGCTGTGAGCACTGAAATAGGTAGCCTAGGTGAACTGGGTGGATATGTACACTATAAAAATATCCAACAGTATCATCATCAGGGCATAATGATAGAAAGAGTACCTTTTGCAGGAGTGGTCCTGTCTAAATGGTGTCTCTTACTTCCATGTGACTGCTGTTCAGACTCTTTAAGGGTTGGGGTTGTGAGGCGCCCATTCTCTTCAATGCTTTCTATCTCAGAACTCCGAGATGACATGCTTGGCATTGACTCAGGGGTTGTAACACTGCTGATACTGTTAGAAGATACATCAATTAACATACCGGTAGTAAAAAGTTATCCAACTATGAACACAGAAGGTAGAAGAAGTAAAATGTTGGAGATCTGTGGATAATTTCTCTGTAACCATTAACATTGCTCATAATGTTTCTGAATATCATGGACTCTTTCTATGTAAATATATTAAGAAAAGGAACACTGCCTGGTAAAATTACGGCAAGAGTTACATTGCGTAACTGCTTTTACTTGTGCATTGGCTGTATTGCATTACTAGTTCCCATACATGTAACAGATGGAAGGATATATCTTTAACATACAAGAAACAACCAACTGTTTTAACTTACTATCAACAAGTACGTTTATGAATAAACTTTTTCTTTACCAAAGCATAGCCCTTTCTAGCTTTACAGATTCATTTATATCGCTCCTTATTTTTCTCTTCCAGATCTCAGAACTTATTTTCTTATATTTCCTGAAACCAACCCCTATAATCAGGAAACAAACTCATACCTTGATCTCCTTTCAAGATGTGCAATGTTTTGGTTTGGGTTGGGTTCTTCCTCGGCTTTGTTGTTGTTGGCATGCCAAGCTAGCTTTCTTCTCGTTGGTTCATGGCCCAAGTCTGGAGCGCTCGCTGAAGGGCGTGCTCCCTCCTTTGGTTCACTGTAAATTCATACAACGGTGAAAATATAAAGTGAATATGTAATAGAATTCAAAATGTTGTCATAAGCTCATATTACTATCTTGATCATAAATTTGTATAGCTATCATGACATAATGCTCACTATCATACTGGTTTACCAGCAAGGGAAAGTAAATCAGCCATTTAAGCATCATGATAAGAAGTAGATCTATGCTCTTGTGTAAATTGCAATCAGAATTGTCAGATTCTTGTTTACAAGCCAGCAGGTCTTCAACATTTGTTTGAAATATGTACATAACAAACTTTTACAATTGCAAAATACCGCACATTCTCACTAAAAATATTAAAATTTCATTTCATTGCTACATTACTAGAATAATTTTTCATCAGATCTGTTTCTTAAGTAGCAGAGCTGTGGGAGCACTCACTCTTTTTTCTCTGACCCCGTTGTTTGAGTGGAGATAGAGCTTGATGTACTAAGTTGATCACTGGATTCCTCCCATAACTTGGCCTGATTAGCCAGTAGTTGACCTAGGTGCTGCCTGGTAAAATGAGTGCCTCGGGACCGCTTCTGATACTCTTTTGCCCTCTCACGTAATTCTAAGACCTGAAAGAACAGCATTAATTTTAAAATGTCATATCTGTGGGCAATTTTTCTAATCTGTGACAGCTTAAATTTGCCCTCTCACCTCCTAACATCACTTCCAAATTGACAAAAATTTGAAGTGATGTACAAACCATATGATATAAATGACATGAACTTTGGAGGGTAACACAATAATGTTCCCTTCGATTGATATGACCAACAAAGGCAACCATGTAACAGTATTTGTGGAGTCTGAGAAATTTTGGATTGGCAGTTGGATGCTTACATATATATCTTCAGTACTGGGCTGAAAGAAAAAATCCAGATGGTGGCAAACAAACTTTGAAAAAAATCTTTTTAAGGTAAACAATGTTTAAAACATCCACCCAATACACACCTTCCTAACCACTGCTAGAGGTTTAGGCACAATACAGTGTCACATAGACAGTGCATCCCAAATGAAATAGACCTAAATAGCCTGTATATAAAGACAACTTTTCTAGAGCAGTCATTATAAACAAAAATTGACTCGACATTAAGTTCATTGTAAATAATGTACTTGAAATCACTGAGCATTTTTGGAGCTCCAACAGCATATGTGCCAGAAGCAGTTGCTCTGTGGTCTTAGCCCTAACCCTAGACCCAAACCCACTTGCAACATTGACCCTACACCCTATACCTTAAATGAAACCCTAAATGAAACATCTGAAGAGCAAATGTCAGGTCACCTATGTATACCTGAGTGACTTACTTCTGAAAACCAGTTGGGTAAGTCCCCTACGGACTTAGACCTGGTCAGCTGTTCTGGTTTACCCCCTCTATCTGATGAATCATCTCTAGGTTGGACATGAGGAGGATCCGCACCTTTCCATACTCCATTCTCATAACTAAACACCTGAGGGGTTTTGAAGTTGGACTTGTACTCTGACCTCCATTTTCTGAAATGAGAATTTGTATGTGAGATTTAGGCTAAAACCATTTAACTCTAGAAAGCAGTCTTTCCCCCAAAGTACTGAATTAATTTCTAGGACATATCAAATGACAACACCTTTCAATAAACTTGGTTTACCTGTTAATAATTGTGTGTACACAGCATGGGTGTAAATCCTTACGTAATACCTATTGATCAGGGGGGATGAATGAATAGATCATCCCCCCCCTGAACAATAGGTATTACGTAAGGATTTACGCCAATGGTACACAGACATTAAAAAAGATTATTTTCAGGTTATCTAACTTGTTATTACTTTTGGATTTGTATCACTTAATGGATAATTGATATTAAAGTAAAATGCAGGTCGACTATGCTTACTTTTCCTTGGTAATTTATTGATTTTTTTTCTAATCACAACTTAATTTATAACAGTAATGAAAAGGAATTACATTAAAATATACTGGTATTGTATTTTGCTGTGCAACTTATCTATTGTACAGTTCTGAGGAAAGACACTTGACAGCCTTATAGAAATATCATAATCATTTTCCAAGTTCATTTTTATCTGCACTGCCTTTGTTTAAAAAGAGACATAACCAAAAAAGAACTCATCCAGATAATATGATGTAGGAGGGAAAGGATGTACTGACCTTACTGTTGCATGTGGAAAGAAAGGTCTCTGAGGATTTTGAGATGATTTGACGAGTCTTGGATCATCATGTGAGATTACCGATAGCACTCCAGCTGGTTGCTGTTTATCAGGGGTCAGCTTCTTACCTCGTTTGCTCTGAGAGATGGAGAAAATTGGCAGATTTATATTTACAAATACACAAATATATAAGACTCATAGACAACAAACCAGATATATAATTGTCTCTCCTCAATTATATTAATTTGATATGGTAAGGATATTATCAACCATAAGATGTGGTACAATTTCATATTCAGTGAGAAAGAAAGATATAGAAAATTTCTTCAAATGATTCTGAGAAAGGAATTTTATTATTGGAAATCAATCTGTTCTTAGAAAATGGGAACTAATGTATAGATACATGAGAGGAAGTTAACCGAGTCGCACAAGATGAATAAAAACAAAATTTAAAAATAAAATCAAGAGTTAAAAGGATGAGTTTAGCAAGTAACCATCAGAAATTTAGGGGGAATCTGGAAAAGAATATTAATTATTTCAGTTTTGTATGATTAGATAAGTGTGATTAATTATCATACATTACTTTGTATTGTTTTATAGTTCTTATGAGAATTTGTTTTATGCTGTAAGTGTAAAGCTTGTGACATTTGGTGTCCACTGCGTTACAGTTTTGATTTTGATTTTCTCAAAGTTTACTTGAATGAATTGATTATTTGACAAATCAATGAATTCCTTTCTGTTCTCCCACTGATGAAACTTACCTTTGTTTTGACCCTGTACTTTGCTTTGATCTCTTGCTGTGCATTCTGCATGAGCTGATCTTGTACCAAAGGGCCACCATGGTTCTGCTGCTTGAACTGCCTCTGGTATTCTGTGTGCCGGGGTATCTTATCTGGTACGTACGGAGCCAGGTTTGCATTAGAGGTATGTACCATCTGAAGAAATAGAACAAATTGGATACCAAATATTCATTATAAAAGATGACATAAAAATAATATGCACAGACCGTGACAACACAAAGTCTAAATCTATATGCATGTTATGGATGCTGGATAACTTAATTGGTAAATAAATATTTTGTCAATGACATGTTGCACCTATAGGTTATTACAAGGATTCGAATTGAGATAGGGGAACGATCATAAGAAATTAAACTCAACTCCATACCAGCTTTGGTATACTAATGAAACAAATATTGGACTGCCATAGTCAAGTTTTTGTCACACATGCAGTGTACTTCTATAATGCACCGTCATGATTATTTAAAATGTTAACTCTTACCTGTTCTGCAGCCATCAAAGGTGATTCTTTTGATGGTTGCTTCCAGGCAAACTGTCGCTGGTACTCTGATGAATACCTGGGACCACCAGGCCTTGCTTTAATACCAGCACGGTACTGTAAGGCTTCATCAGTCTAGGATCAATTAAACAACATTACAACAGTGCCAGAAGGTTGTATCAGTCAGGATTGTGTGTGTGCGTGTATGTGTGAACATAATGCATCTTTCCAGTAATTTCACAGGAAGTTTGAAGGCTCAAACTTACATGGTTTTTTTGTTTAAAATATCTACAGACTACCTTACTAACATACAATGCATTTGAAGTGCTTCTGGTTAGAGAGAAAATGAGAGAAAAGGAGAGAAAGAAAGAGAAAGAAAGAGAAAGAAAAAATTGAAACAGTAGAAAAAAAATGTACTTGGCAAAGGTAATAATCTAATTCTGAGCTAAACACTAACATGGGTCAAATGCTTTTGGAACCCTAGAATTGAACTCCTGACCCACCACATTTTCAAATTTCAACAACAGCCTTGTGCACACAATCCCTTAAAATTAAAATCCAGACCCCCCTTTGAAAAAGGTTAGTGTTGAGCTCTGTCTAATTATATTTTCATAATCAATAAGATGCTTACCTCCTGTTCAGCTTTGCCCTTTGTTTTTGATGCATCGCCTCCTGCTTTAGGAACATGTTTGCCCGTCTTAGTGATTGCTGGACCCTTAGCTGCCCTGATTGGAGAGGGAGGGGCCACTTTCTTGGGAGGAGGAGGTGGCTGGCTAGGTTTGGATATGACTCTGGTTTGTGCAGCAAGGGCTTTGTTCTTCTCCGTCTTTAGAGTCTTGTCAATAGGTGGCCTGAAGAAATATATATTTAAAAGCGATAAGTACTGCATGAATGATATAACGTTATTATATACGGATATGATGATGTAAATTGATATGCACATGAAGGACAACACAGATATACATTAGCATGTGTATGTAGCTACATATATAATTACAACCCCTGTTTTACAGATATTGATGTTGCATTTGAACAAACATGAATTGCATAAAGATTCATGGTCTCCTAACTGACACAATAAGTTCCGCTGACATCTACAACACTATACATCATTGATTCTTATGCAGTATGAGGCACATAGGCTGACAAAAGCTATACATGGGTTGTATCACCTGACTTGATTTAGTGAGCGGACTCAACTGTATAATCACAGCAAGGAATGCCATTCTTTTTGTAATAGGAGTAAATAGTTTCAACTGGAAAATTTAGCTATAAACCCTTCAAGTGTCATTGGTAAAATCTGAAATGAATTTGACATTTTCAGACAGCTTTTAGATTGAAAACTTGTCTCATAAAATTGCATGTACTTAAGAGGCACTGTAAGGGTCAAGGTCAATGCACCTGATCTGTATCAATTTGGGATCCAAAGTCTCACCTTGTTTTTGCGGGCATATCCACTTTCTTCAGGAAAGTCTTTGAAAGCGATGACCCTGGTATCTTATTTGGTTTGCCTATATCACTGCTGTCCTCCGAGTCACCTGCAGCCATGAACTGCTTTGTGGTGTAGGTCATCTTGTTATCTTCCTGGATCGGTTTTCTCCTTCGCTGAAGTGGTGGCTCGCGGGTGATTGCAAAGCTATCAGCTAACAACAAATATCCAAACAATTACGGATAATACATATCACACATATATATATATATATATATATATATTAAAGAACTAATCTGTATTGTAAATTTCAAAACATTAGATTGCATACATGTAGCTATAAGGGGAAAACAATAAGATGATACATAAAATCACTTAAAGTAATTCAAAGTTTCAAACCTAGTACTATCAAAGAAGTGCATTAAGTTATTTGTTTGTTCTTGTTCTGTGTACAAAAGTTTATGGAGCTGAAAGAAGTCCTGTGCAATAGGGGGCTAGGGGAATGAATGGTGTACTAATTCGCTTGAGAGCTCAACAAGTTGTACTTACCATGGCCAACAGATGACATTCCCGCCTGCGGGGCATTTTGCTCTTTGGTAGGAGTAAATGATGCAGACTTGACCGAGTCATTCCAGCGGAACTTTTTCACATATTCAGAAGACGACTGTCAAAGGTGAAATATAAGAAAAATCATTTTACATAACATTTATACGTTTCAAAGTAATGAGATAGCACTTACATGTAACACGCTGTAAGATATTCTCAGGCTGGCATACACTGCGCGTCTCCTCTTTGTATATTTGCTAAGTTTTATAACCCCCCACCCTCCCCTCCTCTCAAAAAAGAAAATAATAAAGTAACCACTGCTCTATTTTATTCTATACAAGAATTTCTTTTCATGCGAGTATCATGTTTTGTTTGTTTAATTTTTTCACAAATTCAGATTCCCTGACCGCATCCCACCTGCTATTTGCAACAGAGGAGTGTTCCTTTTAATTTTTTGGAATGCGATTTGAATTTGGCATACATATTCATACTGTATTTGTCGGCGATAAGGCCGCACCCCGATTTTGACATTTAAAAAAAATTAAAAAATAAAAACTTTTGTCGAAGGCGGGATTCAAACTCTTGCGTACAAATGTAGATTAGGACCCAAAACCACCGCCTTAGACCGCTCAGCTATCCCGACTCTAATGCTTTCTTTTGCAGCTTTCTCTTATGTATTGCTTCTCTTGTGTATTGCGCCATAGCTTTGCTTGCGTGAGCTGAGAAGATTGAGATTGCGCCATAGCTTTGTTCGCGCGAGCTGAGAAAATTGAGATTGCTTTAGCTATGGCAAAAACTTAAATCTAGATCTACCAGTAGAGTTTGGTTGGTAAGTTATGAATTTTATTTACGAGATTGACATGTGTTATTCTAGACAGTTATTCTAGAAATGTCCATCACCTTTCATTGTTGTCCCATATGTACAAATTTGTGCTGTCTTTCATGGTTTTGACTTGCAATTTTTTTTTTTTTTTACTCTTTCGACGCAAAGGCCGCACCCTGACTTTTTGATATTTTTTCTCCCAAAAATACTGCGGCCTTTACGCCGGCAAAAACGGTAATTAAATGATACATGCCAATAATTAACAAAAACAACAACCACTTTATTTTACCTGCGGCCACGGCAATCCCGTTTCAGGTCCGTGGATAAAACGGAAGGGATGTGAGACAAGGGGAAGCGGAATGGACCGGGCTAGATTTTTAATCAGTCAAAGTCACATCTCCGCCACCAAGCCTCTGCACCATCATCGCATAGATCTAAACCCCTTTACTCGTTCATCACCCGTCATCATCTTCATTGGACTTTCCACGTCATTTCTACTGTCTCAAGCTTCATTTATTCACTGCATTTTTATGCATATCCATCTCATTTATTTAGTAGATCTATTCACCGATTTATTTTAGTGCAATATTCTCTTTTCTCCTTCATATGACTTTCTTATTCTGAGTCATTTATTTGCCTGACTGCACTTGCAAGCGCAAGTGTACAATTTATAACTCAATAAAAAAATGAAAAGGGAATAGATCTAGGCCTAGTCTAGATCTCTAGGATTTACAGTTTTAACTGTCTGTGCAACTTTGCTTCCTCATACTGTTAGACTAGGACGTGGCTAAAATAAAAATAGAGTTATGTTGTGTGATCAGTGAACACGCAAAACAATTTTCATTCACAACACCACCTCACACTAATTCTACATTATTATTAAGCGTCGTCCCAGGCCAGGCCAGGCAAGTGAATTCGCGAACTAGGCCTAGACTACACACATTCATCACACAGCAGCAGTCAAAACGGCCACGGCAGGCAGCAGCAGAACTTGGCCGTTGTCTTCGCCTGGCTTGACCGAGTCGCATACACGGGCGACAGTCACACACACAGACTCGATTGTGGCATTCTGCAAATTATTAAATCCTGACGAACACCGATTAATCTGAGGTATATTAGGCGTTGTAAATTTACCTTCGCCCTGACTGGCATGATAGCAAGCTCACAGTTTCATCATCCAAAAATAAAAACGTAAAAAACCCAGCGACATTAACAGTAGTATGGAAATGCAGTGTTTGGTTTCGGTCGCATTATATTCTAGGCTGCCACCATATCAACAAGTAGGTCACGTCAGAGAGTCATTTGTGTTTGGCGTCCTTTACATTGCGCATGCGTAATCAACGGTTCTTTAATCCAATCCCAATTTATATCCGTGAAGGGGTGCATGGGGGGGGGGGGGGGATTCATAAGTGATAACGGATCCCCACTTACCTTTCAATGCTCTAAACACAAAGAAACTGGTGTGGGATGATCCTTTTCAACAGTGCCCCGTTTTTGTTTTACGCATGCACTTTCACTTTAGAGTTCTCAGAATTTGGGGAGCCTATAGGGGCGTGGCGTGCATGTATACGTGGTTTATTTCAAGTTCAAGTTTTCAAGTTTTCATTGTTCCACATTTTACAAAAAATATAGACCTACATATAAAATTTAAAAATTATACAATACAATTGTAGTATAAATGAGCACGTCTCAGTGATTCTCAATTCATATAATAGGAACCTATCAAAAATATTATAGGCTCCAGGAAAAATAAGTAATGTATAGATGAAAAAGCGTAGCAGTAGAGAAAGACGTAATTTAGAGGGGAGAATTTAATACACAATGGTATAAAGAAATTTGTAAACAGAATAATAATGCATTAGCACCAAAACCCAGAGTCACCCAGTTAAAATGCGTAGTCACCCGAGCACTAGTCAGCACGTACAGCACAAAGTAATTTGTTTATAATATACATTAAAAAACCGGAACAAGCATCATTAATTAACAATTAAGATTAGCATTGAAGAAAAAAGGACTGGGAGGGCAAACAAATTATATATTAGATGTACGAATTTAAAAGAAAAACTTGAAATTTGCGTTTAAAGGCCCACTGCACTACTTGTAGCTACTTGCGCCCTCTATATAACAAACAATTAATGCCTAATCGGTGACCATTGGTCCCCCATGATCCTCTTTTTCTTATGTTAATTGAGAGCTGAGTTGATGAGATAACCACCTGTCCAGTGACCTTGCAGGGCAGTCTAATCCCTCCTGTAAACTACGGCAGATAAGCTTTAAAGCAATTTAACGATGGTGCTATTTTACCTCTGAATCCAAACCATTCCAAAAAGAGGAACCGGTATACATGATTGTTTTGGGGGCAAAAACTGTCCGGATTGGGGGGAGATGGAAATCGTCTCTTTGTCTTGTGGGATAGGAGTGAATAACTCTGTTCAAAGCGATCATAGGAGGGATCATCCTTACTTAGCTGATACATGAAAATTCCAAGGAAATAATTGTATAAATCAGGTACTTTTAGAAAACGATTTGCAAGAACTGAATAAAACGTTAGTGTGTGCCTGGAAGTCTGCCAGACTGTTATTCTCATTGCTCTTTTTTTGATCATGAAAATCGAATTGATTTTTGTTTTTGAACAATTTCCCCACGTAGAGCACCCCTTAATTTAGATAAGATAGTAACAGAGTTAATTTGTTTGCTTGTATCCATTCATCTACAAAATGCATTAACAATGTTGATCGCTATGTTTAGCAATGCAAAGTACTAGTATCGGGAATTAGCCTAGGGCCTCGTATTGTCATTATTGCTTATGAAAACAATAGCAGCTTCTTTGTAATCTCTCTCCTCTTCCCTACCTTTTTATTGTTTGCAATTTCATTTTTGTTTTAACGTACCTAGTTTTTTTCATTGGCTATAAATTGCCTTTTTCATCTGATTTGGAAACTTGAAACTCTAGGAAAAGAAAAAAACTCTCTCTCTCTCTCTCTCTTTGTAATATCATAATTCTTAAGTAATATAAAATCTGTACTAATGAAGAAAAAAAACATAAACAAGATGTGCACAAATAACATAATTTAATATTTCACAAGAAACCAAACTCTTACACCACATACACTTCACAGATGACATTTTTACAATAAAAAGACTAATGTCTACAACAATATACACTTGTCATCACCAATGAACATTTACATTTGATTACAGGCTAAGTAGTTCCAACCCTTTATAAAATATTCTAATGTGGGATAAGTTTTTTCTCAAAGTTCCTATACACATTAGTTTTGACCAAAATATATTCATTAACAAGTTCTATACCACTTCATATATCCAAAAGATCTGTTTACCCGGAATACATTGCACATATAAAAAGTGTTTGTAAAAACCAAACTGGAATATATAAGATTATAGTAGACAGGCAGTGCCCTATACATTTTGAAAAACTATATTATAATATCATTTTCCTGAATAGTGCATTGACGCTAGTTGCCTGATGTAACAATGATAGTTGACATTTGATTCATTTTTAATGAAGTGTAATATTTGAGAGTCACTCCTCACTCTGAAAAAAGTATTTCAAAAGGGTTTATCATAATAAGTATGATAATACTTGCATCATTAAACTACTTGCAATCAATGGATTATTTTCCTGATTTACTTTATCAATAAAAAACATAATTTCTCAACAATATGCATCCGAATATAATAAGTAGTGAATCTCTTTTGTTTTGAGGCAAGAATACTAACAACATAATAATAACACACAATTGTGTACATTTCGTGGACAATTTGATTCATTTTGGAAAATATTAGACACAAATTCAATATTTTTCTCTTTTATTATGAAGGAAAATCAATGCAATAACTTTTAGGAAGAGTGACATCATGAATTATTTCTTTCCAGTTCCATTGCTAACATTGGCAAAGCATTTAATTTTGAAAGACAAGTCTAAATCTAGACAGAGAGCAACATTCACTAAAAAGACTGACGTTTGATGAACAGATATTTCACAAAAATGAAGAACTACACACCAAATCAATGGCACTCACTAAAAACAAATTGACAAAGATATGCTCAAGAAAAAATAAATAAGCAACAAAGTTGCTCACATCTGATTTAACATGGAAAGGGTATGATTACCCAACATATAATTGATTCTGTTCACTTTAATTTAAGAAAGAGCAACAAAATCATGAAGAAAATGAAAAGCACAATTGTTGCTTACAATTATATAAAACCAAAAATACATATATATAAATAGGAGCATTTATCATGTACCATAATTTCATATGAAAGATAAGGCCTTTTTATGGCCAGAAAAATGACATTTACGGGGTCATGAAGAACAAAAAAAAAAATAGAAATAAGTGTAGAAAAGAAAGCCTTTTTCCTTATGAAGATATTTTGATTTGAAAGATATATGATAGCATGTTAATACACATTTACAATGAAATAACCTCTGATGAATTGTTTAAAAACAGTTTAAAAAAACATGTTCCAAATATGATTACATCATTGACAACACCACTGATACATGGAAATAACTATTCTGCCATTTAGCAGAGTCAAAATGATGGAAGACTCATTAAAGGACGTGTGCTTCTTTCATACCATCATACCTTGTGATAGTAAATCATTATTCATGCCATGCTATAAGCAAATCCTCTGTAAATGAAGTTTGTTTTCCTTTCATTTTTATCAATGAATCAAGTAGAAGCTAAATCCATACATAAAGAATTTGTTTCAGGAATAGAAATATTATTTTGTTTCCATACACATCTATCATTTGACACACTTTTAGGCTGCATAAAAAGTACATAAAAAGGGCTAACATTGAACGAACACTTTGCAAACTTCATTTGGAACTGATTAAGCAAGCAGAAGTATAATTACAAATCTTTGATTTATACCAAAATATAATTTGCCCGAGAGAAAATTTCAGATCTTCAATTGCAACCAACCTGAAAGTCTAATTCAGCCATTCATAACAATTAATGTCTTATGCTATGAAACTGTTGGCATAGGAACTCTAACACTTGCATCATAGCAAGCCGATGTAACTCATATAAAAAACACTTCTAGTTTGCTTCATAAAACAATAAAAAAGATAGACAACAACATAAAATGTACTCAATTCATAGGTAAAGGGGCTCATACCCCCAAACAAAGACTTCAATTTCACTGCAAACTGGAAATTAAATTTACAAAATGAAATTCTGAAAGCAAAGTTATGATACATAATGTACATACACACCCGTCGGTTTAAATATTTCAAAAAATAAACACAAAAGGTATTTACAATGTGCTGATGTGCACTTGAAATCCTGCATGAATAGCAAGCCCAAAACACCACCAAAAGAAGATGTTACTGCCATTATAAATTGTTCATCTACTGAACAAGTTATGCAATCTACAGCACTGGTTTCCTAATTTAATCTAAGTCTTCTCTAGACATGCAACTCTCCAACATTGCTGTTTCTGTATTTTCTAACTTTCAAATTTTTCAAGAAAGATTGAACCCGGGTTTGACAGCAGTTATTTCAATGATTTTCTTAATATTCTATCATTTATGATACCTTGTACGCCCTTGTACAATCTTTTCATTCCATCCAATGACACGATAAACATATATCAATATCTTGAGGAAAACAAACATTTCAGGAACCATGACAAGACATATCAATGCAGGTTTTCTAAACATGTAGGTATTTTACAGTGTTATATTTATTTAGAGCAGGAGTTTCAAATGATAATATTATATTTGAAGAATCATGTTTGTAACATTTTTCAAGCTCTTGTCAGTTAAATTTAAGACAAGTAACACAATATATTCTGGGGTGAAATTAGACTTAAAGCTTCAGTCGCTTCCAAGTATAGTTGTTCCAATGAGACTACATCTAGCTCCATTGACAGCCGCAGTGTGTGCTTGCCAATCTGGTCACGTGCCATAGCTTCGTGAAACCGGACAGATTAACAAAATGCAAATCTGTACACCCATTTTACAAAGATTTTACATACGTTTCTCTTCAGATCATAGATCACCAGTTGAAATGTCAAGGTTAACATAAAGGCAACCTGGGGACAAACTTTTGGCTACATTGTAGCCAATATTGTGAGTTAACTCCTCTGTGATTCCATTGTAATGGGGTATCATATGTCAGTTATCATCAGTTATATTAAAGAATTCCCAATACCAGGTGTTTATTTCTGTCCAGGACAAAATATTCATGAATGAAAAACTTATATCAAGGCATGATGCAAAGTATCAATATCAAACATATCAATCATCCAATAAATAAACAGGGAATCCTTAGTTAACAGAGGCCTTTCTCAATTAATCTAAAAATAACCACATACCGTAAAAGGAATATCCTCCTGATTTCATGTATAACAGCTACTTCTAATCTACTATACAAGTTTATTTCCAGTACTTCAAGATTATAAAAGGATCACATATTCTCTGATCTTTATCCCAAATAACTCCCTAATTTAATATTCACCACACAAGACACAGGTAAGGGGAATACATAGCACACAAACAACAACAACATAATTATCCTCATGATTTCACAAGATATAGGCATAGTCCACCACCCATGTGGTGCATTACCCAATCGTTCAGATATAATGCGTAGATCATCATTCATACATCTCCATTCACCTCTGTTCTCATTCGAACTTCTAAAATTCATTAAGCATCTTAATGCATAAATATATCAAAATGAAATGATATAGCTTATTCTTAGCATTAAATCCCCACACAGCTAATCTGTATTAATCTCCTATTCATGATTAAGTAGGTATACACAGGTACATAATTGTCAGTGTCAAAGCCATTGGGCTATTCATGTGCTTGGCTAAAAGCCTTTATACATTATAGACTGGACATTATGCAAGGCAGAGAAAATGAATCTGAAATTAATGAAGGTTATTGTCCAACAGCACTTACAAGCTATCATGCAGATTTAAATTTATAACAAAATATGCAATTTGATGATAACAAAATTGAGCTACTGAACGAAACATACGATAAGAACATGTATAGGAAAGCTTTACAAAAGCTATTTATAGAACAGGAATTCACACTACTTATAATCTCGCACCCACATACCCAAAGTTCTTAACCAATTGATTACCGGTACTGAATTATGTCATTGCCGTAGGCTTGAATACAGGAGCCACAAAAAACAAAAACAATGTGACCATAATTGATTTGAGAGAAAAAAATCTTTGCCTCTTGGAATTATATAAAAGTGATTATATCATCGATTTTATGCCTTCCCGAGGCCTTGCTAATGAAGAGTTGTGATTGATAAAAATTTATCACGACTTGCTCTAAATCGTAAATGTGTACCTAAGAGATATCAAAGACATTGTCAATTTGTAACTGATTGGAAAACTATAGATTGATTCAGATCAAATACATCTCTTTGTATCAAAGACAGGGCCTTGGTGATTCAGATGTGAACTACTTGCATGCAATGTGTCTGAATGTGAACTGATAGCTAATCAGAAAAACTTTGAAATGGATGAAACTAGCTGATCTTCTGAGAGGCCGCAAGGAAGAGTTGTGTAGTGTCAAATTCAAGACGGTCATAAGCCATATGTCGAATAGAAAGAAGAGTGCAACAATTAATGTACAAGCTTTTACAGTCAATTAAAACACAAACTGTTTGTACAAGAATGAATACATGCTGTTAATGAATTGCATATTGTACTCTTTATGAATAACTTGTTAAGGGTCGTGCACATATAATGCGGTAATCACGGCAGTTTTGAATTTGTTGTAGTATAAATGAATGACAAGGGGCGATGTAGAAAAGTAGCAGCAAGCAACAAAGTCCCACACGTAATCACTATCATTGTGCTTTAAGTTAGACAAATGTGTAGTGCACTACGCTAAAGTCGCTATATTTAGCCGGTGGTTTCCTGCGACATATGTAAACGAAGCTTTATTTTACATTGTCCAGTATGCATGTCAAGTCTATCGATGTATTATGTGCATCACTTCAGCCTTGTTTCAAGGTAGTCTTTATGGCGGGGTTGAGTGGCTGGTGGGTTGAGGTCATGATGTGAAGCTCATAGAAAGCCGAGAGACAGAGTCTGGGCTAATCCTCTTCAGATTATACCTGCAATTTAACAACAACAAACACAAAAAATAAGTGATTAAATAGCAAGTTCATAATTGTTATCAATACGTCACATATTTCTGTACTACCTACTATATGTTTCTATCAATTACAGGCCTTTAATGTTATCAATTTTAGGTGCAGTCCATTTCAGCTGGTAAGAATAGTACATCTGACAAAACAAAGATGATGCAATGTACATGTAGTAAACATTAACAAAGGCATAGCTAAAGAAACATTCAGCTATCTTATTTGGAGAGAAAATGGCAGCTGGAGAGTAGAGCATCAAAGGATGTGTTGTAGTGAGACCTTTACAGGCCTTTAGATCTCCACAAGATCTAGAATTACTATCTATTTTTTTGTTAAAGGTGTATTCCAAAAGTGTTTGCAATATCTACATTTTGAGAAAACAATAGCTACGTTATATCTATCTCGTATGATCAGGATTTGAGCTGACAAATCTTTGATTTAATAATAAGCAAATAACTACCGTTGGTGAAGGTGATGGGACAAACTATCACTTCCGAGGCGATCTGGATGTGAAGCTGAGGAAAGATAGCGTATATACATTCTGATCGACGAGGAAATGATAGTTTGCCATCGCCTGAAACCAAAAGGTGATTATTTGCTTTATATTCCACATCTAAAACAATTTAACTACAAAAAGAAAAGGACGTGTATGCATCTACATAAAAGACACCATGCCCAAATTCACACCAACAAAGTTAAACAGTTTATAACCCAACCCCTTGAGGGTACGGTGCGCATGTGTTTGTTTTAATTGCGCGCTTAATTACGCCTGTTTTAGTGCGCTTTTGGATAATCTTCAGTGAAAGTGCGTTGCCCTTTGTAGATAGTACCTCTATCTTCAGTAAAAGTGCGTTGCCCTTTGTAGATAGTAGTACTATCTACAAAGGGCAACAAACTTTTTGCTTCTCCCATCAATGATGGGCGAACTATCTTTGATCACGTGATTTACTTATGACCAATCGTAGAGCTAGATTCTTAGTATGTGGAATATAATAACAAATAATAATATGTTTATTTATATAGCACAACTACTATACAAGTATATTATACTGCACTCAATACACACTATCATATCATTACCCCGGTTGTAGCTGAGCTGCCACGATAAAATGCTAAACATTCAAACAATTTCTTCCTACTGGGTATCCATTTCCCTCACCTGGGTGGAGAGTGGCTGTTGTAAATGAATGTCTTGCTAAAGACACAATTGACCATAGTTTACATTTACACGTACTCATCCAAAGACAGTTGCACACTTTGCACATTCCTAACAAGAAAATATGAAGACTTGGATTTCAGAATTTTAGTTTTCTTAAACTTACCATTCTGTTGTGGCCTTGCTGAGGTCTAGGGTGGCAAGGTCGATGTCAACCTATGATGAGAGAGAGAGAGAGAGAGAGAGAGAGAGAGAGAAAGAAAAGTTACTTCAACAAACCTGGTTCTAATGTTCCCCTGTAATCACTACCACCCCCCCCCCCCCAACTGTATTGACTCAGATGTTAACCTGTTACTTCAAAACATAGTCATCTTTTAGAAGGCTAATGATAGAGAGGGATGGAGAAAGAACTAAATATGGCTCTAGTGTGAGGAACTACCCTTGACAAGAACACCACAGAGAGAGAGAGAGAGAGACTTAATACTCCACTAGTAGTAAAGGTTAGTACTGAGAGTACAATAATATTCCCTTACCACTGTGTGTGATATGACTTCAGTGATATGTAAGCTACAGTGTATGCTACTGTGATTTCTCAATCTTAATCTCATTAACAGACATTATATAATACAACACATCATTATTTTCTTAATTTTAGTTAATAATAATAATAATAATTCAGTAATGTGAGAGACACCCACTAACATTGAGTCTTTACCTAATATCAAACTCATTTAACCTATTCATCTACATCTCAGGAGTAGAAAATATGTTTAAAGGTCTGAAAGTGTGAATAAAAAGGTATTTAAAGCATTATTTTTACCTGGCCAATGGTCGGGTTGTTGAGGGGAAGGAAAGAGTGTGAATTCTTGATGCAGATATCCAGAACTCTCTCGGATAACTCTGTGGACGTGCAGGAAAACTCAAACCTGGTAAAGAAATTACAAAAAATATATCAGTTTCAATCCAACACAAAGTGAGTAGCAGATGACATCTGGTTCAGAACTGCATAATGGCAAGAATATCAAGTTGTGCCTGGTATGGAGAGGTCATTTTAAAACCAAAATTAATAACTTAACATATTCTTTCTTTTCCTAAAGGCTAAAGAAAGTCACATAAGGAGGATAGTCACTTATTATAAGCGCTAGAAAATTTAGCCCCTAAAACAATTCTGCTTTCGAGAAAAAAATTGATATAACAACTTACTGGTGCTCCCGGTATATTTTGATACATTTTTAAATAGCGCCTACAGCCGTATAATGGTAGCTAAGAACATGAAAATCTCAGACTATGTAGTTTTGATATATAATTTCTAAACGGGAATAGCTAATCATTGATTTTAGTCAAGAAACATTTTATAGCTTTATTAATATCTTGACCTTGAGAGGGAGCTATACAATATAAAGAGTTATTTATTTACAATTCCATAACTTTAGACTCGATTTCAACCGCAACAATGATCATTGAATATTGTAGATCGCTTATGCTTCCAAGATGTTCATTTGAACCAAATTTGTAACCCCATACCAAAACTTTGTATTACCTTTAAGATGCTACATGAATTCTATAAGTTTAAATGAGAACAGAGGTGAATGGAGATTTTAATATCCAAAGCCAGAATATTAACAGTATGATAAATCCATGTATGAGGTAAGAATAATAAATTCAAACTGCAGGATAATTCAAGGCAAAAGATGTAATTCCCACAACTGATTTGGGCCTGAAAATCTCTTGATTTTAGTCATGAATCTAAAAACGGTGATTCTATAGTTTGTGAGAAATTTGTTTACAAGCATGCCTACCATAGCCTGCAATGTTTTACTGTAGTAAAAATAGGACGTGATACACCGTAGCACCACCGAACCACCCAGAGAGGACAGGGACTACAAATGAGGGTATACTTACGTGTGATCAAAGACAGGATCTCTTGTGTCCTTGATGACTTTGGTCTTCTGTTTACCACTTTTAGACTTGTCTGGTAGAAGGTATGCCCTGATGTAAGAATCAGGCATGTCTTCAGAGTCAGGGATCGTCAGTTGCCTGGCATGGAGATAGATATAGAATGAGAGTGTGTTTAATTTATTGAGGAAGACAGTCTTTAACACTTCATAATAATTAAAACAATTACCAACACTTTTGGGAATCTAATGTCATTATCATGATATTCTGCATTTGAACATTATTTGAACACATTCTGATCAAAGAAAGATTACAGAGAGTCCTTTTCAGGACTCCACAATCCTCTCTCTCTCTCTCTCTCTCTCTCTCTCTCTCTCTCTCACATGGTGCACCCGCAAGCCTACTGTATACTGTACTCATTCTGTAAAAAGCAATTAGTAATTTCAACATTGGGAAGAATCATAGTATTAGATACAAAAAATTCATAAATTTTTGATGATCACCAATGACAAATCCAAAGGTCTTCATGTTTTGTTTAAAATACCAATTAAGGATGAATAAGCTAGTGTTTAAGATTTGAGAGTATCCTCTACGTTATTGCATGTTATCAAAGTCATTAAGACAAATAAAGACAATGAGAACTGTACATGTACATTCGGAAGTATTCAAATTGATGCTACAGAAATGTTTTCTATTACAGTACTGGTATTTAAGATATTGATAACTGATGTATTCAATTACACAACTGCAACCTGCAACATTTCTAAATACTACATTTAACATCGCAATCAGGTAAGTCTTAAGGTCAGTTTAAGGTCTTTGATTGTTTTACATCCCATATGTTACTAAGTATCATGGAATATTGATTACAATCATCATCATTATCATAATTATCTTTTTCCTTCATATTTCATCTGATCAAAGATGTAGTAAAGCTATGGACTTCATGTAATCAAATTATAAAGAGTTACGATTGACCCTACAATCATAAGTTCTCCAATCAATCGCAAGTTTGCAGCCTCCTATCTCTTATGTACATAGTTGCGATTTATATCAATTAATGTCAACTCTTTATAAGACGGGCCCAGGTATATGAAAATCTTTGATGTAGTCATTAATGTATATTACTTACGATGCCTTGTGAATGACGACTATGACCTTCCCTCTCGGTGAACTGTATCTAATTGTCATCTGGACACGACCATATGGGAACGGAGCCTTGGGACTGAAAGGAAGACATTAAACATACAAATTACATCAACATGAATTTACAAATTATGTATCAATCACAATCATGATTTTCTCATTATGTTGTTGTTTTGTGTATTCCTTTCTCAAGTATGGATATTTTTGTATTGCAGTCCTCAATAAAAATCCTAAAAGTTTGTTATTTGTGAGAATGACTTAAAAAGTATAAATAATAAATAAAGAAAGAATTTGATTATCTTCAATAGACTTCACCGATATATATATATATATATATATATATACATACATGCATGCAAGGCTCTCAATTAATTTGATTAAGCCGACATAAACAGAATACTTTCCTTCACAAATAGACAGGACTGCAAAAGAATTTTACAAAGAAGGAAATTATAACTGTAACAGATTATTACCACGCCTATAGTTTATCATGCATGCGTTGTAGCCCACAATAATGACATAAGTATGCAATTAGTTCTAACTCCACATTCACCTTGCATTTGAACACACTGATGTTAAGTATTATTTTGTATTTTATTTACAATGAATAACATTTTACTGAGTAATACTTAGTAATTTAGAATCGAGAGTTACAAGAACCAAGAAATCAAACTGGAACTCAAACTGATTAGCAACATGCTAAAAAACAGCAATGGATGAGTCAGAAAATGTTCACAAAATCAGAACAGATAAGCTGATTTAAATTTGATTCTTTCTCATTTTTGCTCACATCTTCAGAAAGTTAAAATAAGACCTGGCCCTGTTGCACCAAACTTACCATTGATGGTAACTTTGCCATCAATGGCTACCAATCTTGATTTTGATTGGCTGTCGAGCCTTGTTACCATGGTAGTTGCCATTGATGGCAATTAAGTTACCATCAATGGTAAGTTTATGCAACGGGGCCCTGTACTGCCATTTTACTATTCAACAATATACTTTAACATTTTAATTTTGTTCAGTTATTCTATTTTTAATGTCTCCATCTCCTTCTTGTAAGGCAAGTGGCACAAGCAAGCTTGAGCTTTTATGTAGTAGAATTAATAACCTAAAACAGTTTTGAACCATCTGCACAGTCAAACAAGATTTAGTATCATGAATATAATATTGTATAATGTTCACATTATACCTTTCTCTCTATCACATTATTCATGAGAAAAACAACCACTCCGTAGGCTACCTCAAACCACAGATATCAGCTGCTGAAAGCCAAAATACTATTTAAATCTACATAAAACAATAAAAGTACCCTACTAAAATTATGGCTTACAGCTGAAGATAAAGCTTTTCATCCCATACCAAAATATTGAAACGGTTCTTATGATACAGTGTACAAGATGGTAGTATGTTACCAATGATTATATAATGTTTACAAACGTGTATACACCACTGTGAGTAATATATTTCATTATACACTGGATTAGAAGCCACTGGATATATAGTGATATATGTCTCATCATTATTACCTCCATGTATACCGGTAGTAAGAAGTTAATGAGTATAACCCATGACCCCTAAATGTGGATACTTCCTACTGCCTCTCACCAATCCATCATCTCCATTGACACCATACTCTGAATATACTCCGTATTTAGTAGAACATAACCAAGTTTTCCCTTTTAAATCAGATATATTTAAACTCACTCTCCATTCTCAGGGATTTTGAGACTTTCTGAAGTTTCTGCATCATTCCTAAATATCAAACATGTAGGCCAACCACAAGGTCAATCAAAATTAACCAATTGAATAAACTCACCCATTGAATTACATAAACATTTGTATGCAGCATGTACCTGATTAACTTCAGTAAAACTTTAATGTAACTTAAGAATAAATTTAGGGGGATCAATTCCCAATTACATGTACACTTTGCTTATATACAGTGTAACACTGAGTTGACATTCCTGACTTCTTGTCTGACCTGTGCTCAAGCAGAATGATCTTCACTTCTGATTACAAACAAATATATCTCCTAATACTCATGTGATCAACGATACAAAACAAACATATAGATCCAAGGGAACTAGGGCGTGATCTTAACTATGTTTGAACATACCAGATGATAATGAATAAATAACAATAGATGCATCACTTTCATATAATTAATGAGATATCTTATAAATTATCTATTTACAGTATATTTAACACCTCTTATCCTATCTCACAAAATTTTTAACTAAAGTATGTAAATGCCATTAGTTCATCCCTGCCTTTGCATCTCGTATTAAATTTACTGACTAATTATGTCTATAATTATATAGAACGACATAAAACAATATAAAATAATACTCTGCTACCGATACTATCTAGCTATTGTGCAGTGATATTTCACTTCTCTTGCTTTTATCTATAAGGGTGTACATTGTTTTTCATTTAAAAATTATCAGATCATTTGAGGTACAAATAATCATGTATTCTGATCGATGCAACCTCTAAACAGAAGCAGTAATATCCAAGATTGTTCTGATATTGTATTACAAATGTACAATGATAATTTTTTATCCTGAAAATTTTCACTGTTAATCTACAGGCTTTACAACACTAAATAGGTCCTAAAAAATCTGGAGCCGTAGTATAGGGCAAGTACCAGCTATTTTCTCCCATACGTTACCGACCACATCTAATATTTCAGTATATCTGATGACTGTATCAAGCTGATAACCCTAAAAGAGATTGAATCAGATACATCAGATAACAATACATTTCAACAAAGCTTGGTAACATATAGAACATAATCGGACTTGCCCACAATACTAGTACAAAAGAGAAAATAAAAGTTGGAGAAAGAAAGGCTAAAAACAAATGAAAGTAGAATGTTATTCATCATCCTCTCTCTCTTACTTCTCTAATCTACATCTTCTGTGATCTACATCTTCTATGGTCTACATTTGACTCACTCATATACATATGGATGCACATTCCTCTTCCTCAGTTCCACCCCGCTGTTCTCTCCATCCCCCACCCTAGGGGAGGTCCCATTAGGGGGTGGGGTGCTGCTCTGACCGTCTTCTTCCTCGGGACCGTTGATGGTCACTTCGGCCGCTGGAAGATCTGATTTAGCATCGGATGACTTCTCCAGGGATTTCTCCATCTGACCGTCAATGTTGTCATTGACAACACCCTCGTCTTCTTCTTCTTCCAGTAGCTGGTTCTTTGCCTACGAGGTACACAAGCAAAAATGAATGAAACGGCACAATTAAAAAAAAAAATTTAATTATTTTACCACACAATTCATGTTACACATTCATCTCCTTTGGCTGCTAATTGCTGGTTCTTTTCCTGCAGGGTATACAAACAAAGTTGTATGAAACAGCAGAATATTATATGAAAAGTATAACTTCTTACAATTTTATATCATAGCTTTTGATTTTAAGTTACATGAAACGTATTAATCTTCATCATCTTTTAGTAGCTGGTTCTCATACTATAGGGTATAAAAGCAAATCTGAATGAGACTGAAATTAAGTGAATTAAATGACATATAAAACAAATTTCATATGGTCATTCATATTTTACCCTATAATTTGAGTTACATAACAGTGTTCTTACTTAAATACAGATTATTATTTTGATAATAAAAATGACAAATAATTGACACTAGGATAACAAAATGATAATAGAAAGAGCTTTCTTAGGATTTAATTTCACAAATGCTTACCAGAGCAGCCATAGGCTCAAAAGGACCATGTTGTTCCCTTGCTTGTCCTTTTTCCAGAGCCTGTCAAAAAATACAAAACCATAAACATCATAAAATGTAGAAGAATACAACGTTTATGTCTGGATTGGAAATGCAACCAATTAAAGTGAAAACCCTCCTCAAATATGAATGCGCTTATCATACACAATTTTAACAACCTGTTTCAATCTTTTTTCACTTATAAAGTTATAACAGAACCATCTATCACACAAAGGGTTTTTATTTGGTACTTTATAACCAGGACTTTGCCTTGGAATCTTGCTAATGCCACCAGTCTCATCCTCAAAACTCATTTGCTGGAGATACTCAGCATATGGTCTCTCGATCATCTTGTCTGGTTGGCTAAGGAGAACCTCTTTTGGAGGGACAGTGATTATTTAGAAAGATCATCCCTACACCCAACTCTGACTTACCCTGAGACACATCTTGAGTGTGATATTACTCTGTGGGCCAGAGTTACTCAGCTTAAATGGTCTCTCGATCACCATGTCTGGTTGGCTCAGTAGCAGCTCTTTCAGAGGGACAGAGACATTACCCATAGTTTTGTTTCCCTTCTTGCTGTCTGTCACCTGAATAATTAAAAAGATGAATCGTTATTTCATAAATGGCATTTGGGAAATAAATATCTTCATCACAGCTAGAAAAATGCCCTTAATTGGGTTCATAATAACTGCCTCCTAATTCTTGAAATCTGTTTCCTGGCCCTAAGCCGCCCCAAAATGCCGCACTGATAACATAGTCCTTTATTACATTCATGTAATATCTTATCATGAATAAAACTTGTTGTCAAAGCAAAATAAATCAACCACATACATATATAGAAGGCTTGCGGATGCACCATGTGAGAGAGGGAGGATTGAGGAGTCCTGAAAAGGACTCTCGGTAATCTTTCTTGAGGGTGTGTGTAGTCCTGAAAAGGACTGTTGGTGTAGTCTTGAAAAAGACTATTGGTTATCTTTCTTAGCTTATAGTTCTAAGGATTGGAGAGGATGGGTGGCGGGAGTGGCTCAACGTTTCGAACAGGTTGACTATCTGTCGTCACATGGTGCATCCGCAAGCCTACTGTATATCTACATAACCATGCAAGCCGATACTTACAAGCAGCATCTAACCACATACATGTAGTATATTTAGTTTTTTAATTTATTATCTAGCCCTGTGCGCATTCCCCTTAAAACTGAAATGTTACAAAATAAAAAATGTTACCAATGTAATAAATTTGTCACACCAATGATATCAATCAGGTTTTAGTTCCTAGCTGTAGTTTCCTTGTTTATAAAACAGCTACGGAACAATGCAATAAGTGATTTCAAGTTAGGTGTTAGTGTTAGTGTTAGTGTTTAGAGCATTGAAGAGCTCTTAAATCGAGCGAAAAAATTGCTGATGAAATTAAGAGCCCGATACCGATATCAAAATCGATAGCTTAACACCAGGTGTGACGTCACCACATACTTGATTTCACGACGATAATTTAAAAATGGTACATTAAAACTAAGATATCATCAAAAGTACAGAATAAATTTACACCTATTTCTCTGGTCTTATAAAATAACTCATTTTGTACAAAAGAATATATGAACTACCTTTTTCACATATTTTTACTTGATCGTCAGACAATAAATTGGCGTCGATCGTGCGTTGTCTGTGTGCGGGTACAACACTAACACCGAACTGGAAATCAACATTTGCTTAATCCCTAGGGGCTAGTGTTAGTGAATAGGACATTTGTACGTAAAATATTAACACCAGCCACAAAGGTCGGTTCAGCAGACGACAATTTTGCAAAATCAATAACACTCGCTACCGGAAGTTGACGATATTCAGAGGTCAAAGCCTTAACACCAGCTGATTTCCATTTCGGTGTTTAGGCTGGTGTTAGTGTTTATTAAACACTAACACCAGCTTTAAACACCCAACTTGAAATCACTCAATGTCCTTCTAAGTATAATGGTGCATTATCATTGATTTTTTAAATGTTGGTGAATTACTAGATTCTTACCTCTATATCAAGGGACTGCATGGCAGGATTCATCACAAGGAAGTGATACGTCTCTTCCCAGACAGGGCGCATTGTCTTCTGTTGAACCTGATTAAAAAGAAAACCAAGAAAAAATCAATCTAACTTCCTCAGCTATGACAAGGAAATGATAGCTATCTTCCTACACAAGGCATATTAGGTTTCACCTGATCAAAAACATAAATTAAATCACCAATCACTGACTTCTTCAGTAATCACTAGGCAGGATGCTTCTTCTCACAAAGGGGATAGATCATCTCCAATTGTACTTGAATATCAAACCTTAACAATTAAATAATCAATCACAGCTACTCCTTTTATCAACAAGATATGCCAGGTACGACTACACAAATTAACCACATAAATGGTGATATTCATACATTTTATGCATGCATGAGTGTCATGTGTAATTTCATCAACATTCCGTATGGTATGACTGCATGGGTATTGTAAGAAGACTGTAGTTTGTTCGACCTACACCATACATACGCAAATATGAATGATCTCTATGGGTGAAGGAGATGATACAAGGTATATACTTACATGACTCTTCTGCATAGTCTGACCAACCTTCAGCGTACATACAGGACTGGGCATACTGGTAGACCTCGATGATACCTGCATAATTCCAAGATTAAATAATCAACTTCTATCAATCTGTTACAAAAATATTGTAGGACCAATCACTCTTGTAGAAGCACAATGATCTTTAACCCATTGCCTGTAGGAGCCAGGTTGCTCATGAATTAAATCCTAGGAATAAGAGAATTCAGGAGTCAATTGCTGACCACAGAAGTTCTCACTCCCCTTGGCTAAATCTTAGTTTACATATGTAATGGGTTATTCATAAAGCTGAAATTAGATTTTTGTTCAATACTGAACAGTTTGACTTGGAAATAATAGTGAAATAGATCTTTTTTTCTATTATTCATAATAATAATAATACATTACATTTATAATGCGCTTAATACAATGTTTCTAAGCGCAATTTGGAAGTAAAATACAATTAGCATTCATATAATATAATGTTTTGGGGTTCAATCTTTTGTTGCACTGGTTTGGCTGCCTAAGTTAGGGAAATGCTAACCACAGCTCAAAGTCCTAAGCTACGCTGCATGGAACCACAGTAGAAAACAAAAAAATATTATTATGAATAACCTTTAATTTAGAATTTATATTGAATGCTGAAAGACCTGGATTTAGAAATGACACGTTGAAATAGAAATGAAGGACACACATACATTCTTATTATATCAAATTTAATTAGCCTAGCATTTTGGCTTTATAGCTTAAGCTAATATAATGGTCATTTTTGGAGAGTGATGAGAAATTTGATGAAAAGCCTGGATCATGCAACATGTGTAGGTAGTTCTATCTACCCATTTCTGTGCGCTAGGCATGTGATTTTTTACTTTGAGCAAGACTTAGACCCTGTTCTCACTTCTCACTCACTTCCTAAACCGATCCAGGCTAGATCGATCTACGCTAGACAATTCCTAGGGATGCCATATATTTCAGTAAGTTTGTAATAATACATATATGATTGCATACTTTCAACCTTTCAAATTGCATTGAATCTCTGAAATCACAACTTAGGATGCTTCCTTTCTTCTTCTTTTTTTCAATTTAGAGAAAGGAAAGAACCAACCAACTTCTCCTAAGAAGCCTGTGTATAGGGCCGCTGTCCAACAAAGTTATGTTTGTCCCATTTAAACTAATCCCATATTAAAGCAAAATGCATTCAATACTTGCAAAGATGTTTCACAGGAGTGTAAAACCAATTATGCTCAACATTCATTTGCTTTTGTGAAGTAATGAAAATGACAACTGCAACATATTTGTCAAGAAATCCATGCATGATTTAATATACAAATATATGATCTGCATTCCAAATATATCTGGTAAGCTTTCTCATTATTTGTAATTCAGTTTGCAAGAATATCATAGTAGAAATATCCCCTGATAAAGGATTGCTCTTCTAATGCCCTCAATGTTTTCAAATCCAATTTAAAAACTTATTTGTTCAATTGAGAGATCTTATTTTGTAGAATTTAGTAAAAAAAAAAGAGCTCTTAACAGCGCGGCTGAATATATTTTGTATAAAAGATGCGCTATATAAATTTATTATTATTATTATTATACTCAAAATGTGATGAGAAATAGATGAAATGCCTGGACCATGCAACATGTGTAGTTCTATCAACCCATTTCTGTGTGATAGGCATGTTATCTTTCACTTTGAGCATGTTTTAGTTAATACTTTCAACTTGGATCATTCCAAAATCTTACAGATTAGGCCCAAATCAATTGTTAAGTACTACTTTAATAATCGAATTTCCTAATTGCTTCCAAATAGTTACTTTCACAATATAATCACATGACCTTTATTCAACTTTATCTTTAATCTTACATCACAAAGTGCAACATAACTGAACAAATACGACTACTAAAACAAGGGAATAAGTTAGTTCAACAATCACTAATTTAAAAAAGAAAACTTCTTTGAAAGTATCATATTATTGAATCAATTAACAGCTAATGCTGTGGAGAAATTATGAGGAACTACCTGTACTTATCAACTTATCAACATCTTGAACTTATAAACATACTGTAATAACACAATTACTTGTTAAAAATGTTATAAAGAATTGAAAATCCTGTCAATTGTAGGATCTATACCCCATGTTATATTTTATGCTTTGAATTCATTCACATGCTTGAATCAACAATTCTTTGAAAACTGATATAAATTGTAATGGATTAAAAATATATGTGGAGTATGCTGATTTAATGCACATCAATATAATCCCTGCACAAATATTCCTAAGTATATTCTTCAGCTTTAAAGAAAAACGACTATAAATAGAGAAATGAAAGTACAACATTGTTTTTCTTTTTTTCTCTAATGAAACAAATTCACTATTTTTAGTGAAAAAGCAAACACACTCTGAATGCAATGATGAAAACAGTGAGGTTTGCATTTAAAAATAAATCAAAGACATGAAAGGAAGGCAAAAATGATGGATGCTTTCAAAGTTCAAAGAGAGCAATCAAAAGGTGAACATAAATAATAAAATACTCACTAAACCTGGGATTGTTCTTATTAGTGTACTTTTCTGTTGATGAAAGTACACACAGTTCAGTGCTCTTATTTCATTACAAGTATCTAATTGACTATTGGTACGTACAGGACTGATTCTATATGAAACTGATGAGTGATGAATATATTGGTATATATAATTTTTGTAATAAAACTCTGTGGGGGCAAATGTTTTTAGTGTGGAAATCACACTCAATTCTTTATGCCCTATGATTGCAGATACTTTCTACATGTTCTATGCATTATTGCCTTGTACACTGTTGTTTTAAATAAGCTATATTTATCTTATTTATACTGATTTATTTTACAAATTCAATATATCATGTTATACTATGTTATGTATTACATTATGTGTTATTAAGATTGTTGGTAAACTTTTGTAATTCGGCTAAATGCTGCGATGAAAGATTTATTTGAAAAAAACCATTTTGAATTGAATTGAATTGAATAAAGAAGAACCAATGTGATGTATATTATTTCAACATTAGCATCACTGACACCTTTAGAGTCTCTTGGACTACAATTTGCAGGCCTGTTTTTTAACCTAATCAGCACAATCCTGGGTTTAACCTTGGCTCGCAATGAGCTTGTCTCAGAGACAACTTCAAGAAGTCCTCTGTTAAACTCAACCTTAGACCAAACTTAAACCCACATCACAGAGATTATATTTGATTTTGCTGCATGGGGTAAATGTATGATCACAACTTTTTCTGTTGACAGCCAGAAGGGAATTACCATATACACTTTTACAGAGAGTTAACACCGTACAGGTGCTCAACATATGATATGGGAAGTTCAGAAGGACATTAACTCTTACTTTTTTTCACAGGGTTGACTTTCTGGCTCTAAACAGATCATACAAGAAGTTCAGAAGGGCTTTAAATCATTATTTCATACTGAATTAACACCCTTCTTGGCTCCAAACACACGATCTGAGAAAAATTCAGAAGGAAGACGGTCTTACCGGTAGATCCTTGGCAGAGTCCAGCTTGACCACCAGCAGGGCACAAGAATGAAGTGACTCTGAGGTTGGCGAGGATACCTGTATGCAGTCGGCTACTTGCTGCTCAGACATACAAAATATCAACCACAAGTGAAAGAAATAGAATTTAGATACATGTATGATGAGTAAACTTTCTATAACTATCAAGAAAAATAGATTTGATTTTCAAAAATGAAAGGTTCATCAATACCAGGTATACAATGATGTTCAATATTAAATAGCTCATTCAAAATGTTTATGATGCGATTGAAAAAAATATGATTTTACTTCTATGTGAAAAATTGATTTGTCCAGACTTATATATCTTTAGAATACGACATACATGTACTAAAGCTTACATCTAAAAGTATTCAACACAGGCCTGAATTCTTTCTTGAGTTACAAAAAACATATAAAACATACAATTTACAAGGGGTACGAATGTTTGAGTTGTTAACTTATATTATATCAGACTATATAGTCCTACATACTGAAAGAGAAAATCTTACATCATGGATGATATCAAAGTTCTCTGAAGGAACGAGCCATTCCAAATGAAGATGAAGATCACCATGCTTGATGTCTTCAAGGGGCAACCACTACAAGGTAAACAAAGAAAACAATTAATCACTTTATTCAAACAAGCATTTGTGTACATCTTCACTCTGAGACTATACCAATATAATATTTCAACTTTGCATCCTTTTGCAACCTTTGAAATATTAACCATTTACAAATATGTACAAGATCGATATGAGCAACAGGTATTGAAGCATTAAAAAAAATAACCAAGATCCATGTCTACATACAAACTAAAGACGATCTGTGAGCTGTTTTTCTGCATTATATCATAAATAAAAGAAATGAAAATCCTCTAAAATTTTAAGCATTGTTTTACTTACAGAATCAAAGGTTCCCATCTTGGAGATGTAGTGAATGTCAATGCTCAAACTGAAAATGTAAAGATGAATAAGGAATAATTAATACATACAAGATGGAACATAGCAGTAAGTCGTCTGACAGGCATATGTAATTTGCATGATAAGACGGTATTCAAAATGAAAGAATACAAATTCTAATAAACGAAAAGTTCTTCCCAATTCTGGAAATTATGTTTAAACACTGATATACACACAAGAACAGCATAATGGATAATTTTGAGGATAAATGTCAAATGCACTTACTATACAACTACAAGAGGTAGAGTATTAATCAAGCATAACAAGTCCTAGTGTAGGCTACACTTTCATATTTGTCTGTAAATCACCTCACAATGTTCTTTTTGTTCAATTATTAATTTCACATTTTGCTCTATCGGTTTTGAGTGATAAAACTAAAACAAATGTTACAAGTAAGATGTACCTAAAATTTGGATGAATAAATACCTACAAATGCCTAAACTCTTCAGGTCAATAGCAGCATCATATCTATGGACTTTACTACTCTTAATGGCCTTCTGGATCCAAAGACAACTGACACACTTACTTTCCTAGAGGATCATCTTTGCTCCCTGGATCCTCATCCCAACAATCCACATCTAAAGTCTGCCCATGCTCCTCATACACTAGGGCCTGGTAATAAGATAAATATTTCAATGTAACTAGTCATTCAAATTGTAGTACTACTCGTTTACAGGAACGTTTCTAAATATCTTAAACAATAGTATTCAACTATAAAATCAGATACTTTTCACACATGACACATTCACCACAAGGGATACTCATGTATGTTTCTGTTGTACAAATAGTTTGAAGATTGTACATTCTATCAAATACAATAAATGAAATGATGGTCAAGAATAAACACTGCATCATTATGCTGTGTTGGTGTGATGTTTTCAACAGACAAAAAGAAAACAGGAGAATTGACTTGAAGAGAGAAGTAAATCATAATAAAAATCATATTTTATTGATTGGAACCCAGCTTCCTTTCGTTTCCTTAGGCGTATAATCGACTTATGAAGCAGAATCAGAAACTACACCGCACTCAAGATGATCTAAACTCAAAGAAAACTGATTCCAGCATCTAATAATAATAATAATACTTAAAACTTTCTCCTTACCTCAAAAGTCTGATTCCACTTAGGATTGAGATTGTTGTTGATCGTTTTGGTCTTGAATTTCTGCATTCCAACTGTAAATGTTTGAAATAAAATCATACATTTTCATTGGATAGAAGTAAAAAAAAAAAAAAATTAAAAAATTAAAAAAAAAAAAAAATCATCCATAACCCATTGGTAAGCAATAGAAATTAACCAGAAGGAAAGGACACCGACAGAATATTACCATATTACAATTTAAAGAAAGTTTTTTCCTTTTTAACGGATGAATAATTTTGATAAATGTACTTTAATACTTTAACAAGGCTGTGGTCTTGCTTGGTACATGACCTTTCTAATGCAGCAACAACCATCTGAGTCATGACTTTACATGATCTGATAAACTAGGATCAGTTTTTAAACCTAAGGCACATCCTGGTTTCAACATTTCCTTTTCAAACAGAGCTGAAACCACATTCCATCTAAAACACATGGAGGAATTTACTTGAAAAGGCCTTGTAATGTGACATCATGTTATTTAATGAGCTCTTACGATAAGTTTTTAAACCTAAGGCACATCCTGGTTTCAATATTTCCTTTTCGAAACAAAGTTGAAACCACATTCCATTTAAAACGCATGGAAGAATTTACTTGAAAAGGCCTTGTAATGTGACATCATATTGTTTAATGAGCTCTTAGGATTTCCATTTCTAAACCAATACTGACCATTGATGACGAGATAGGGGTCAGATTTGCCCTTCTTGAGCAGGCCCATGTCAGCTCTGACCAGATTCCTTGCTTCTACTGCTGTGATACGCAACACTCCCTACGAGATAGACAGACAGAGATAGAAAGGGCAAGAGAGAGAGAGAGAGGCGGAAGAGTTGGAGGATTTATATAATATAGCATTCACATAAGACTTTTATTATGAAAGAAATTACACTAAAAAATATATTTCATTAGTCTCCCAAATGATTATCTCTTTTGTACACAATCAACAAAATTTCATTGTGAACACTTTTGAAGAGTCTTTTAAAGGTCATATTCAGTAATTAAAAGTCAGTTATTCCATTAAAACAAGATTCAGTGAAGGAATATAAATCAAAAGAGGACACGAGGTTGTTTAAAGATCAAAACCACAGATACAACTTATTTTTTCATCTCCCATTTTGCAGATTACAGCACTCCTTTACCTCGGGATGATTAATATGCACAAACTTAAAATTGCAGGGATGTACTTGTATATTGTGTAATCTATCAGCTAAAATCAAAAGATTCCTCAGGAAACAAAAGCTTACTAAAATTGTATCTGAGCTATAAAAGGAACCCTTTTCCATCCTACAGTGGCAAAAATCTACAGCAAGGGACACTCTAATAGATAGTCATGGCACTACATGTCCTTTGGCAAGACATTGATCTACATTTGCCCTCTCCACCAGGTGTTAAAATAGGTACGCAATAGAATGCGAAAGCTAATGTGGTTAGATTAGCAAGTGTGCCCTTGTAAAAATGGCGTCTGACTGGAATGCTTCCCAGGGAGTGGAGAATGTGCATACATTGTGTGCGGGTAAGCCTGAATCTGATGACCGGGGTAATAATATATCTGTAAAGCACTTTGAGAGCTTTGCGGTCCTGAAAAGCACAATATAAGAACAAACTAGTATTATTAGTACATAATTATAGACAATCGAGGAACAGTGAAACTTGGTATTCAGTTGGTCTTACCTTAGGCATTGGGTACTTGAGTTCATTGATATCAGTCGTGTCCATGAAAGTGAGGGGAATTCTATTGGGTAGCACCAGGAAACAGGCAAACTGATCCTCTAAAATACCATGAAGCATGTTGCTGTTCAATGATAAAACAATAAAACATTGATAATCAGTTTCAAGCTTAGGGCACTTGAGTTCATTAGGATAGATTCTACTGGGTAACACCAGGAAACAAGCAAACAGATCTTCTAAAATACGGTGTGAAGTAGTTTGTTTTTTAATGATAAGATAATGAAACAATATTTATGTCACATACATGTACATGCTTAAGGTCCCTGATAAAGAAAGTACATTGAGACAAATATTTGTATCATCAGATAAAAATGAATGTTTAGATAGATACTGAATATAACAAACTAACAAAAGGGAAACAAAAATGAAGATCACCCACATGCATCTACATGTTCTGTAGACTTCAATTTCCTGTTTTGTACAGAATCACTGCAGAGCCAAATATATAACATACTGTGTTTATCTGAAACTTTACTTTTCCTAACACCATGAAAGCCTATCATTCATAATGACTCCTTAATCACTAAATATGCCTATCCTATACTTGTAAAAGTGGCACTACAGGTAGCAAATTACACATGTATAGCATCATATTACAATTGACAACATTTCTTTTTCGTACTACAATTGTTGTCAAGAAGGTGGAAAAAGAAGGAGAGGAGGATAGCTAGGAGAAGAAGATGAAAATGTAAAAGAAAAAAAAAAGATGAAGAAGAACACACAATTTTAAAATAATCCTGTAGGAGGTTATGAAAAACAGAACAAAGCAACAAGAGGTTTCTACCAAGACAGCAGGAGGAAAGGAGGAGGGGAGGGTGGGATGGGGGGGGGGGGAGGGGGGAGATGGAGGAGATATAATATATTTACCTTAGACCTGGTACATCCAATAGGTCTGCCAAGTTGGTAAGATTGAAGTCTATGGCCTGAAAGAGGAGATAAGAAAGGAATTTATACTTATCTAATCCACAGTATGATATCTATAGGCATATATCCATCAATTATAGATTTAATCAAACTGCACAGATGGAATTAAAGTGATGCTTAGCTGCAAAAACAAATCTAATTCAATAATTGAAAAACAAATGTTCATTAGCATCCGTCTGCAAATGACTTCTGCTTGCAGCAAGGAGGGCGTTAACTCTGTGTTTAGTGTATGAATCAATGCCTTCTGGCTCCAAACAGACAACTAATTATAGCAAAATGCTTGGATATATGATATAAATGTACATCTCAATCACATTCCTCTCTATGCAAGACTTGAGGAAAATGACTGTTGTAGAGTATGCAGCAATACAACATAATTATTCATGTACCTGCACACATTTCTGATTGACTGTTGATGTTTGTAATAGTGTACAAGCAAACTTGAACAGAAAATATACCTTCATAATATCTGGGGTATGCTACATTGTTTAATGTTTAATGCTTAATGAGCATTGTAGTACACATACATGCAGTAGATCAAATATCACATACTCGAGCTTAGTACAGTACATTTGGTCATTAATTCAACTCATGCTCATGATATCTGTACATGTAGATGTCATACTAAGCATTCAGAACCCTATGACAGTTCTGACACATAGCTTTGCTATGCAATCTCATTCAAATATTTGAAAGCTGATTTGACAGGTCAGGGAATACACTCTCAAAAAGGCAAGGGTTAAAAAACGGTATTTTTGCTACTGTATCTGTAGACGTCATACCAAGCATTCATGACACTCCCACATTCCCGGCACATAGCTGGATGCAATCTCATTCAAACCTTTGATAGCTCATGTGACATCTAGCTGTCTAATAAAAGACAGTGGTATACAAATGATGCATCATTTTCATGGTGTAAATTTTAAACCTAATTTAACAATGGAAGAAACATCTAAAGTCAAAACATTAACACTTTTATTTATGACAATCTTTCAAACAGAAGAGGGAAAGAAAAAAGGGGGAGATTGAAAAAAGGGGGAGATTGAAAAATGGGGGAAGGGGGAAAGAGCGGGAAAGTGGTAAGGGGGAAGGGGGAAGGGGGAAAGGGGGAAGGGGGAAGGGGGAATTGGCAGAAGGGGGAATTGGCAGAAGGTGGAATTGGCAGAAGGTGGAAAGAGGGGAAGAAGCAAAAGGGAATGGGGAAGGGGAAAAGGGGGAGAGGGAGGGGAAAAGGGGGAGAGGGAGGGGAAAAGGGGGGGGGGGAAGAGGTCTTACCGGTCTGTTCAAAAAGTAGATTGACATCCCACCAATCAAGGGCATCTTGTTAACCAATGGCCTCATCTCTACTCTCAAGGTACCATGGAGCTAAAAGTAAACAAAGAGAAATATATTTACATAAAAAACAAATAATGTTAAATACATTGTACATAGCTAGGTATATCCTCATGAACCTCTATACAAACTACATTCATTAAAATAAAAAACACATCTTTCAAGAGCACAAATTTTCAAAGAATTTTATAATTACTTTACAGATGCTTATAGGTAAATGTATGTACATTCTCGTTCTCTAATGGTAGATTTATTTATAGTCCACTCTCCTCTACATTTTTCATCAACCAGTGCAGAACAAACTTTTGTATGCATACATTTACATTGTACACAAAAATTGTATATTCAAAAGGATAATGATAAAGCGACTCCAAATCTTGTTTGTGGTTTGACCAGCTTGCCCATCAACCAATCTCGATTTATACTTTTAACAAAATCAAATAAGGAAACTAATTTGATGCAGATAAAGGAAACACACAGTTAACCCTGCTATGTGTTTTTTTTAAACTTGAATTAATGGTGATAAAGGTTAAAACTACATACCTGTAGATCTTGGATTCCTGCTTTCAATCTCTTGACTGTCTTCACACTGATCTCAATGTCACAGTCACCTGCATAGCTGTACAAAAGACAAAAACAAACAAACAATCATTCAATATTTGAGAACTTGAAAATAACGTTACTCTGATGGGGTATGTGCTGATTCCTTGAAAATTAAATAAAACGATACTAGTAACTGTAGTGTTCTGATGATGAAGAAGACACAACTAAACTGATAATGGCATTGTTTTTACCAAACAGCATTTTTAAATGAAAATACATGGTGAAATAGTATTCAACAAAGACATCTCATTGATAGCAAACCAAATTCAGAGAGTGACATGTTACTGCAAAGAAATCTACATATGTTTTATATTTTAATTGATTGAATAAATGCATCCTAATGTTTGAATAGCCATGGCTGTGCCTGGGTTACATACTTGCGGTTAAATGCATGCGTATGTACCTGTACAACATTTTAAAGGTAGCATTGAGATTATAGATAGCATGGGAGTAGTATCCTCTTCATATCAGTCATGCATGGCCTTGAAGAATTACACTAAAATCTACAATTACATATAACTTAAATTCAAATTCAATCATCATGCTCAGTAATAGACAAGTAAAGAATATTTCAAATCCTTGAGGTCTCTCAATTTTCTCTTTGCCCTTGCCCTTTCTCTCTCTCTCTCTCTCTCTCTCTCTCTCTCTTTCCCTCTTCCTTTCTCTTCCTCCTTCTCTTCCTGTACTATCACTCCCATCCAACTTTTTTTTCCTAACATCATCCCACTATGTTATATTTCCTTGTCACATTCAATGATTTTTGTGAACTACAAGTTATTATGAATCAGCTGTTTTGAAGCTAGAGGGATTTTAACTCTGTGAAAATACATTAGGAGTTAACACCCTTCTGGCTCAACTCAGACAAAATGTTAACAAGCTTAATCCTGTTTACATATCTCTATGAATGTTTGGCATAACACACAATATGCCTGTCCTCATCAGACCGAAGTTGCAAAATAACCCGCTATAATAAGCCCGATCTCAAATTAGCCAGCTACCGGTAATTTGAGTCATCATCAGCCAGAGAAATCTAATCTTGGTCTTGTTTTCCCAAATAGCCTGTTATAGTCCGAGCTAGTTTGTGATGAGCGTGTCAGTCTCGTGAAGACGCAATTCCGAGCTTCGGGAAAATATCCAGAGTCTGGAAATAGTGGGTTATTTTGCAACTTCGGTCTAATGAGGACAGGCCTAATATGGTTTTGAAATTTCTGTCCTTGAACTGGAGGATGCATGAATAATAATTCAAGTACAAATAATAGACTTCATATACATGTAATGTGGCATGAACACCCATTGTCTGACCTAAAAATTTCTTTGAGAATAATGAAATAGGTTTGTTCACACAGTCAACAACAAAATCACTAATGCACAGTTGTACATGAAAACATACAGTCAGTGAGTATCTCATGATGTACATGTAGGGCTACCTGTATCAGTTTTATTGAAAGAGCTTATATGTCTGTATCTACAGGTATGTTCTTTTGATATTGATTATTGAATAGAGCACCACGCCAAACAAGAGATGGAAAGCTATATATAGGGGGTATATTTCAATGGGCATCTTTCCTCACAGACGAGTCAGTTTGCATAGGAGTGCATGGAGAGTCCTTTCTTAAGAATAAATCATGGAACAACCTTGAATAAAAATGAATAGACAGCAAGGTTACACATTGTTCCCTATTCAAAGTTACCCAAGCTCTAACTTCAGACAGAATACCACAGATCTATCATTTCAAGGTCTGTCTTTGCAGGTTATATTTTTGTGCCTTTCACAAAAGAACTCTACACTGTAGGTATTAAGATTCCTATAAAACATCCATGCATACAACTTAATAAAGACAAGCTCCATGTATCCATGCCTCTTCTACAAAATAATGACTTCTTTTATCACAGGACAATCATATGCCTAAAGCATATTGTTTACTTATTTTTCAGTGAAGTTATTTAGTGAATAATGCAAACCTATCAGGCAGAAAATGTATCCTTTGAAAAAGGAAAAGCTGAGCACAGCAGGTTGCACATGAAAGCACACTGAACATATCTTCCCAAGCAACAATATTTCATTGTAATTTTTAAATACATAAATAAGGAAACATTATCAGATTGGGAGAAAATACAACTCAACTAGAGGAAAAGATAAGGGGCAGGCAAAAACATTGAGTGAAAAAAAAAGGACGAGGATATACTGTACATGTAGAGAATTGGGAAAAGAGAAATGCTGATGCTTATCAATTTCTCACATCAAAAGATTAGCAAAGAAAGAAAAATATTTCTTTCAGACCGACATAAAAAGCATTTAAGAGTCTGATCAAAGAATATATGAATGCGAAATTAAATATGTGGCATATAGTGCAAACAAAAAGTTAAATCAATATTGAGAAACAAAATAAGTTATGGGGACATTATAAACATGAGAAGTTAAGAGGACATAAAACAAAAAATTCAAGAGAGAAGTGGGTGAAAGCAAGGAACAAGGTGATATACATGTATGAGAAGGTGAAAGACTTTCCAATCTAAAGTCACACACTTCAACATGCACATGAATGATGTGTGCATTTCATCTGTTAAGAAACATAAGGGCATTACCTACATGTAGTTTAAGACATACATGAACACCCTCCCAGTTCCCAGCAGACGATATCATGTCTCAACTTCAAGGACCAGGATTTAGTTTGTCTAATCTTAGGGCAGATGGTCTAACACTCTCTAGATCTCTTCATCCTTCGGCTTTCGTCGGGAGAAGGTCTCTCCTCCCAAAGGTTTTATCTGGTCATTGCCTCATCATCATCCAAGGAGACATACTATCAACTGCATTTGACGGTACTTCTGCCTCATAGCACAGTTTTTTCAAGCCTCATAAACATATGCTCATTTTGCTTTTAGCTTCCTGTTGAAAACATTCCTCCACATTTGATACATACATGTAGGTAGGATGTGTTCATACATCTTAACATCTTTCTAAGCCTACATGTAAGTACAAAAACCCTGAGTCTATTCCTTTGTTTTTACACTCACATAAATGATATCAGATAACTAGAAAGGTAAAAAATAACATCCTTACTGAAAATCATCTTATGGGTGATCGATTCCATGCAATGTGTCGTGTCGTGTCCCATACCACATATGACTGACTATTTGTCGTACAATTTATGCATATAATAAGATAGGATTCTTTGATAGGTGTGTACTTTTTAACATACTCCTTTTTATTTGTTTTTCATTTATGGATATTAAGATTAATATGGATTCAGATGTATCCCAGTAAAATGAGTCACTGATAATCATGTATGCTTGTTTCATCTTTTATCTCTATCCATCTCAATGTTCCTTCCATCTACCATTCTACAAGCTGCAACATATGGCCAACACACACAAAATTCTCAAATGCATTCATATGCTCTTTGAGGGAGACAAAATTTATGACATATTTCAATATGACGAGCGTCAAGCATGTGTGGATGAATGGGAAAAAGGCTTGTTGCTTCTAAAGCAGTGCATATTTGCCCTAAAATGAAGTTGGCAAGCGCTGGACTGTCTCTCTCTCGAGTCCAGCTGCATCGTTTCTGCCAGTGAGGGAGGTGAAATTCTAGACACCGGGCTAAAATACGCAGTAAAAGTATTCCATGTTTATTCACACATGGGCAAAGTCTTCTGCAAACATAATTCCCTGCCATTATTGATCCCGGAGCTCAGGAAAGAGATTTCGTTACACACCATTTTCCAGGTAGATGAATATCGGGGAGAGTGATGAGGGTTATAGTGAGACATTATGTAGACTTTCTGTCTCACTATTATTTTTTTCGATTCCATTAAAACATGCCAATCTAATAATTCAGATATGGGTAGGGTACATCTTTATATGTATTTACAGCCAATTTAGCTACATTGACAGCTGGCATCTTCGAAAGGAAGACAGGTATACTAAGAGTATTGTGTATGCCTGTCTAGTACCTGCCTACATGTGTATACGTGGGTACATGATAAAAGAGGGCTATACTTATGTTCAGAGATCCATCTATAGGCTGATTATTATGAAATGTTTAAAGCATCATCAAAACTCAATTATGAATAAGACAACGTGTAGATCCTTCCCATCAACTCATTGACACAAACTTTATTTCATGCTGGTTTTTTGCTTTCATTAATGGGAAAATATCACCCTAACCCCTCATGTTTGTTTGTGTGCTCGTTTTCTTTGTTTCTTTTGCTTTTAATTTATATCTTTCTTACCTGTACACAAAATTTACAAAATTTAGGTGTGGGAGGAAATCACAAAACAATTTTTTTGTTTAATAATAATTTTTTTTTATTATTATCATTATTTTAATTTTGATTTCAATTTATTTTTTATTTTAATTTATTTTAATTTATTTTTCATTTTATCTTATTTGTCTATTTATCTGTCTACTGGTATCTATCTATCTACATGTATCTATATCTATCTACCTATCTATCTATCTATCTATCTATCTATCTATCAATCTATCTATCTATCTATTTATTTGTTTATTATTATCTTTATCTATTTGTTTATTTTGTTGTTGGGGGGGGGGAGGTAACAATTTACAGTCATCCAAGTACTTTTCAAATTTTTAACAGACAGCCACAAAAGTACCCCCTCACTGGAAAAAAAAATACTGCACAGACCATGTACAACTACAACTACTTCATTATAGTTTATGAACTTGTTTAATTTCAAAGCTAAATTTAGTATGGCTAGCCTAGAAATAAATGTAGTTCATCAATGACAGTGATGCATGCTGTTAACACCATGGGACTGCACCTGGTTTCTTCACATCATTCCTACATGTACTGCATGTACACTGGCTTTATGGATGCGCTTGCCCTGTCATCTTGAGCTGCTTTACCATCTTATCAAGCACTTGAACTCGTCCTCAGCCAATAAATCATTCCATCAATTATCTCAACCATCTAAGCTCCTCAACCAATTCAACATAATCTTGCAGTCATGCTTTGAAAACTACATGTATTTGTACAGTGCATACATGTAAGTAGGAAACCTACAAGACATCATATTAAGTCCATGCATATTGTACATATTGGAGACTATATTTTGGAATCAGAAAATGTATACAACATGAATTGTCCATTTCTCTAATTATCTTAAAGACTTTAGTGATTTATCATTGCATTTTAATTTGTTTGTTCTTTTTACACGCATGATTTAGGATTTAGCAGAATTTCACAAAATATTACAAGATATTTTTTAAAAAGATGAGACTGTGTATCTAATGCCTTTAATAATGTGCAGGAGGAAGGATGAAACTCTAGACAGATATCAGACTACATATATGCTACTTCATTACAATTATATGTACAGGTCTATTACAATTTCATCACGGGCAATGAGCTCATCATATCCAATTCCACACCTGTGTCATCATGTTTCACCAATAAATGAAAACAACTATGTAATACCAATTTTATTCCACCAAGATGCTACTGCATTTTACAAATGTCAAGCATAGCTTTTGGGATACTCAGTGGTGCTCTGTGGTATTCTAACTCCATAGCTCATGAATTTCAGGTATATTTTCAAATTTTAGAGTGCTGCTAAATGTATACATGGGCAGGATCGACCAATGAATGAAAATAAAGTGCAGTAATACCATTTTCATTCCTCCAAGATGCTACTAGTATTGCATATTATTAATGGCAAACAAATCATTTGGCATACCGGTATACTCCACATTTTAGGACCTACATGTATATGTAAATGACTGCTTTGTGTGCTTTTGTAGTAAAATACCGTAAATCTCTGTGTATAAGACGCAATTTTTGGCCGCCGAAAAAAATTGAAAGTCGGGGGTGCGTCTCATACACAAGTACACACACACACGCACAAAATATATATTTATTTTTTTCTAAGTAAAAAAAATAGGGGTGCGTCTTATACACAGAGATTTACGGTATTTTTCTAAATGAGTTGATTTCATATTTTAAATGAGTTATTTTTGGTTTTGGAGGACTGTTGGATGGACAGGAAGAGTAGGATCATCATATTTCAACCTTCACTGTTTGACATGAAGAATCTCTGTGAAGCTCATATTATGAATCACTGGATTATGTTCCCATGGTACCCTTCCACTGCACGATAAATACCAAGACTAGACAAACAGTTCTTTTTTTAATAAAGGGAGGGTTAACAAAATGCTGCTTGTATTTTTCTTCTCTTCTGAGTTATTTTGTTTTATAAATACTGGCTTTTGGATTTACATTGAAAATATCAGATTTACAAATGAACCAGTAGGATTGTGTTTTTCGTTAAATATAATATATTTCCTTTTTTGCAAACCTTGATTACAGTTTTTTAAAGCTTTTTTGAAGCTTTACAGTAAGTACTATGTGCTCTGGAATTTTTTTGCAATGAGATACCGGTACATAATTTGTAAGTATAAATAATTTGCACTGTATAACCAAAAAAAAAAGAAGAAGAGATCTATGGTATGGTGCAAAAGTGCAAACATTAAAACCTACATTATAATGAAATATATTAAATTGGCCATTAGTCATTCAAACAGCTCGTCAATCCGGATGAAAGTGAAGAGGCACTTGTACGAAACGGAACGTCAGCATTTCCAAAGTGATAATGATTCAATCCATCTGATCTCTTTAATAGCAATGCTCCAGGCGAACATTATAAAAAGCATTTTCCTTTATGTGAGAGCAATGCACACCTGTTTAACCGTCATTCCAAAGAAAAATTTGCTGCATCGATCGATCTATTAGCCAATGACATGGAAATCAATATTTTTTCTGAACAGAGCCAAAGGATATTTCCTCTAAAACTAGCACAAAGAGAGTGTTGAGCATTCTGGCTATCAAAACACGACTTCACAGCTCACAGTGTACAGTATGCATAGTAAATATCATCAAATACCTTTAATAAACATTTTCTGTTTACATGCTTTGATAAAGAGAAAGCTTGCATTAAACATGTATTTAACAAGATCTGTTTTGAATACAGCCAATTAGAATGTTGTTAACATATTGTTATTTTTGGAAATTTGATGTTATAGTTTTGTATCATTGTGTACATGTATGCTTACAGTGCACATGAAAAAAACAAGTTTTTATAATCATTTTAAAACATATCTAGGTTTTTAGTGAAAATATCATAATTTTGCAAGGATGATTTTTGTTATTGGAATAGAGTAACATTTGAATGCATTATTTCAGTATTCATTTCTTCTTTGAACCATGTTTACTAAGCTTGAAGCCCATGGGGAGAGTGGGTGCAAGTCAAACACAATCCTCCACCCACAAGCCCCTATTTCTGGAAACAGAGGGAAATGGAATGACAGTCGACAAAATGTCACCAGCCACCATCATGAGCTCGCGGTCTCCACTCTCCAACCTCCATCAGTGTATTTCAAACAATTCAATTGTGCATTGAAATCTAGTTTATATGGAATTACCTGACATGCATACTATACATGTACATGTACAGTAATTCCAACCATAATTGATTGAGTTACATTCCGATAATGTATAATAATATGAATGAAAAGAGGTATGAGGAAAAGAGGTATAGAGGAATAGAAGTTTCAGTGAATCTCTTATATCCGAGACATATTGTATGATATTCTTCGCTTAAGATAATATTAGAATATATTCAGTTTCGCACGGCTATTTGCGGCAGTTGGCAGAGCAAAGAAAGCAAATGGGTATGATGTTGCCATGGATACTGCGCTCCGTCTGGCTGCATGCTACGTCACACTTCACTGCGTTTGATTTCAATTTAAATTATGTTTCACACAATATTTTAATAAAGGTATGAACATTTCTTCTAGTAATCTTCACAATCTATGCAGCCTATCAGGTAGGTCAGAGGAAGAATCCCATTTTAAAATCATCAATGAAATGATTTATGAAAGAGAGAGAGATCGAGAGAGTGATCACGAAAGAAAGTTTTTCATTTAAGATTAAAGATTTACAGCTATTTAGTTGTGACAACTTAGGTTTTTGTTTAAATCTCGAAATTGAAATTGAGAGCTTATTACAAATTTCAAAGAAGTATTTTAGAAATAGATTTTCATACATACATATTTTAAAGTTTACAATAAAAAGAGTAGTCATTATAATGCCAATTCGCCTGTAAAGGAAAGAAGGTGAAGACATACAGTATATGTGTAAATACATGTTTGTGTACTCACAATATCTCCAGATCCAGAATCATTTCATCTCTCCCGACATGCTCCGTATAAGCCTTCACTCCTCCAATACGAGGTGACTGTTGGCAGAAAAAGAAGAGAAAAAAAACATTAAATATCAAATTGTACCTAATGTATTTCTCTTCTTTCAAGGAAAAGAACATTTAAGGGAACCTATCATTCCCAAAGAATTCTTTCAGTTGTATGTACATCGTAAGAGCACGTTATTATCTAAAATCCATTAGACATTGAAATGAAAGACATTCTTTTTCTTTTGCTTCTTAATAGACACCAATAAGTGGACATTGACAGACATCAAAATGGTTAGAGACAAACGAGCATTTAAGAGGAAAATGATATCACATGAAAGCCTGCAAAGATGTTACTTCTGTGGATGTGTACATGTATGTGAATACATCATATATAAGAAAAGAGTTATAGCATGAGTACATGTATATAGACTCATATTTGCATTCATGATACCTTCCATTAAATAGTACTTAAAATCGTATATCTTCTAAGGTGTTTTGATGCTGATATTTTCACTAGATATACCTACATGTAGTAGCAGGGTTATTACCGTATATCAGCATGGAACCCCAACAAATATTGTTTAACTATATATTTTATCTATTCATTTACTTTTTTATGACTGGTCCCTTTATGGTTTAGTACCAATTGAGTGGTTTCATACCAATACAATATGTGAGACTTGACCTTATCATTGAAAACTGAACTGCTAAATGAATTTTAATATAAATTGTGTATTTTGTCTACTTTTGTCTGTGACCATTCGTTCATGATGATGACCTTCATGACCGAGCATGTTCAAGTGCACTTCCTAACACTGTACTTTTAATAGTCTTTGTTGTTGGTGCACCTGTCTTCTGGGATAATGACTAGAGGGGGAATGAGCTAGTGAATGAACTGAGCTTCATCACCTACTCACATGTACATGTAGCTATATAGCCAACGGATTGATAGTCACTCAAGACAAAGGTCAAAGTTGAATTATCCATAATACATACACTGTAGCTAATTTTACTATTCAACTTAATTTAAAATTGGTAACCCATGGCACTTACTTTAATATATATCTCTTACAGTAACAAGTACAACTAACAGTACTGGTAATAATTTTCCTAAGACCATGCTACAACCAACATCCTGCACTAACTGATTTATAAATGCCAACCATAGACCAAATACTGTACCAGTAATGCATACAAAATCCCAACTCTAACCCTAGTCTAAACCCAGATTGGAACCCTAACAGGTCATCTTTGAGGAAATAAAGCCTGGAGCTACATGTATTATCACCACAGCAAATATATCTGAGTACCTCTCTATTAAACCAGGGAGATCTCCCTGATTAAACTTATACCCCAGTTACAACAGCGAACCAACTCCAAACCGACTAACCATCCACAAAATCTTGGCCATTTGGCCAAGATAATGTAATTTTGTCTAATAGTGGTCTCGTGTTGGTCTTGCTGGTGTGAAAGGTGTTATAATCAGTGATAGTGATTTTTTAACAAACGAACCTGTTGACTATATACTTAAATCTCATATTTCCACAAACCACCCATTTCCAGTATAGCAATGGGTTAACAGTTATGAGAAGAGAAAATGTTCTCATCAATGATTCTAGGTTCAGGGAATGTAATAAGTCCACCAGATTTTCTGCCCTTGCCAATCATGAGTATCATCTGTGTACCAGGCAATCCATCTGAACTAAGAAATCCTACCACCCAGCTATCAACTACAGAATACCCTGAGGACTATGAATGCATTAACTGGATTAGACCATGAACCTTTTAGGTTCATGATTAGACTGACATGTCTCACTGTAGAACACTTCACTACAGCGAGAGGAAACCGGCCCTTACTCTGCTAATACTCAAGAAGCTCAAGAAGTTGCCTGATTAGAGCCAAAAGGGAATCAAGTTGTATGCCTTTACATAGCAGTAGTACCTTTCTAACTCTCAACAGATGAAGTATCACTGGGATCTGAGCATATTATATTATATTATTATATTATATTATATTTTATGATGGTTTACGGTAATCATGTAGGACACATGAACATGTGCAGTTTAATAACAACTAAATAATTTATACCCTTACCCAAGTTTTGTAATTTTTTAAATATGTGCAAAATTTATTTGTCAAGATTTATATTCCTTGAGAATGTGACATATTAAATTAAAGCGTACATCTGAAAGTATTCACCCAGACCTTTCATTTTTTAGTTACAAACAAAAATAAAAAACAAATTTACAAGGGGTATGATTAATTCAGTTATTAACTATATGTTCTTGATACTCAACTTTATAAATTCATATAATTCATATTCATTCATATGTGAACTGAAATAACAGCAGAAGTGTAAGCATTAGTCAAAAGTAAAGGTATTTCATTTTCATGTCTAGCTCAGCTTGAAGCTCATACTTCATTAAAAAAAAAACATGTTATATTCATAGCTATTCATTATTTTGGTGTATGAGAGAAAAATATACCATTATTTAGGTGGATATATGTAAAATAAAGATATAATTTTGTCCTCAATTAAACTTTGGCTAAGGCCTAAAAGAAATCAGGTTCATTGGGGAAAATGAGAAAATCAGGAATTTCAAATCATACACAATTGGTGACTAGAGACCCTGTGATGTCACAACCTCGGGAAAGAGTTGCTATTTTTTTCATTTGTCTTTGTTAGATACATGTAGCAACCTTTATTACATTAGAACATTTATGACTTTTTTATCTTTTTTTTATCTTCCTCTAACCTTCATTGATCAGTTTCTCTGATTTTCCTACCTGTTTTAAGACAACTTATTTAGAGATGACTTTTTTCCCTTTAAGGGAGATATGCTAACATACACAACCTTAAAGTGCCTGTTCAAAGAAAATCACAAATATGGCAAATAACACTAGAAACTTGTAAGCTAACAGATGGCCATCATACAAGTTTTAGGTCAACTACATATCGGGTGATTTATAAAAATATAATTAAAACCACCTCCATAGCATCTGGGATATGCGAGAGATTCGCTGGAAAAATTAGAGATGATTTAATGCCGTCACAATATGAACCAATCCTGCCCAAGCAGACGACATCCCATACAGAATGAACATGATTGCAATGCTATTATTTCTCAAATTATAATGAGTTTAGTGTATAAATGTGATGGAATTTTACACCTTTCAAAAAGGGATATGAAACCGATTCTGAAAACTAAATTATTTTGTTTGTAAATACACAGGATAGGGGTTAATGAACAATCAAAGAAACCACACTTTCAAATAAAAAAAACCCTGGAATGACAGCATGACGGCCTATGCAGGTGCTATGCTGGGGCTGTATTTAAGTGTTTTGCAATTGATAATAATCATTACCTCGAATGTTTCCAAACATTGAATTTTGATAACCTTGTCCAATCAAAGTTTCACCTATGCAATAATGACAATAAGTTAGTTTTTAAAATCAATGAACCTTCTCTTTTTTTTAAGTAAAAACCTTGTTATTGTTATCATTAGGCCATGTAAAATTGATTACATGTTGATCGTCCGGATTTTTTGAAAAAGAGGAGGAGGGTGTACCATGTTATTTGATATTTGATATTTCAAAATGGCCGCTCAAAATGGCCGCTCGGTACATTTTCCCCGACAGTCGAGGCTATTTTTTTTCAAGATGGCCGCCGACAATTTTTTTTTTTTTTAAATCAGAAATAGAGCCATTTTAGCAGTGTTTTTCATGTTTTTTTTCTTTCAAAAAAAAAAAAGATCAAAAAAAAAAAGATCAAAAAAAAAAAAAAAAAAAAATAACAAATAACAAAAAATAGGAGGCGGCCCCCAAAAAGGAAGCGGGCGGGGACGATCAACATGAAATCAATTTTACATGGCCTTATAGTTCAGGTCTGACTCTGACCAGCCCTTTAAACTGGCAGATGGGAATGTACAAGTTCAGTGTTCTAGGTAATACAAGCAAACATACAGGTGTACCAAAACACAGGCACATTAATCACCAAGGAAGGACAATGACTCAATAATGGAGATTGATGTGCGGTTTTTAAGCTGTGATGGATCTTGGGTACCTCAGGATACGGATGAACTTTTGTTGAATGGAAACTGATAGTAGGCATTTAACAAGGACATACAACGAATGATTAAAGGGATCCGGTAACTTTGTCTCAGATTCTGAAACAAAATTCTGGATTTAGCTCATGATGCAATGATAATTATAAACATTTAGGTCAGTCAGGAACCCCATGACTTTTACAAGCCGATCGCCTGTCTGATTATCAAGATATTTATGATTGGAATTACAAATTTTGAAAACCGTTCGCCTGACAGCTTTCATAACACTACAGTCTATTAGGGAAAACGAGTATGGTAAAACCGGTCACTCAAAGATTTTTTACTTTTTTGAGGCACTTCTTGATCATTTTGAAGCACAATTTTTTTAGGGCTTCAATATTACACCATATCACAGACACTGATAACATGTAGGGCCGTGTATCTCAGATTTAACATTGTTACACGATCCCTTTAAGCTTTGGAAAGCTTGATTGAATTATTTAACAATTTTGGGGTTGACACAAATATATATGTACCTGTATATCCCTAAAAGTATCTGGGATAGATAGCCAATAAAATAAAATACATGGTGGAATCTTGGGGGTTATTCATTTTTCTGAAGGTTCATTATTTCCAAAAATGATAAAGAGTTCTAGTTAATTTTCTGAATTATGAATCCTTTTTCTTTTTCTAAATTATGAACAATCGGAGTAACAAATCTTTCATAAAACGAATCTTTGGAAATGGGAAAACTTCTGAAAAATGACAAGTACGGTAACCAAAATCTGTCCCTCCTGTGGGTGACTTGAGCATTTATCTAAATATGCACTTATGAAACACACCTTGAAAACAAAGAGACATAAAGATGCAAATATATATATCAGCACCATATCAGACTATAATTTTTAAAAGCTAATGATAGTTTTAAATGTAGCCATATTTGATTGAAGCGCTTCATTAATTCTAGTGTTTTTAGATGTAGGCCTTTAATTGTACATCATCATGTCATACAGTGTACATTTACATTATTGTCTTGATTTTAGCTTTCTTAACATTACTAGATCATTGCCACCATTCACTGGCAGACTCTACTTACATATCTTCCAAGCCTGATCTTCTCAAAGCGAAATGACTTGAGGTAGGATGGTAGATTATCCTGGACAGCGGGCTCTACGGATGTTCTCAAGAGATCCTCCACATACCCCTCCAGGTACGGCCAAAGGTGCTTCACAATCTACAACAAATAAATGATTATAGAGGTATCTTTTTCATTTCTCTCTTTGACTCTGTCTATAAGCTCTTGCTCTACAGCCATCCCACCATAGTACTTAGTAGAGTTTTGGTTAGAAACTTAGAGTCATTGATGAAACAGACAACAAATTCTGATATGCCAATGGCTGCAGGAAAGCAAGAGATTTAAAATAATACCTGCACGCATTTCATTTTTTATAATTTATCTAGATATGAGATCAAGAAGACCCTACAGAAATAAACACATATTGTACATACTTGTACACAAAATAATGTAGATGCATCACTCAATTTATTCTTATTTCTATATTATTGAAAGCTGTTAGCAATGAAAAAAGATAAGAAAACTGAAGTTTGGCATTCAATGAAAATTACCCTTTGGGAGAACCATTGGTATCTGAATGCAAGTTCAAGATTCTGGAGCACTGCCACTGTCACAGTGCACTACTGCATTTCTAGTACGACACCTTGTAACTTGTTGAACATCTGCTATCTGTACACCATGCAAACAGTTGGACAAAGGCACTCTTTGTTGATGGTTCTCAATTTCCCTTCCTTCTATCACTTCCATTTTCTTCTCTTTAAACAAAATTTCTTAGGTGTAAATTGCTCTTTCGCTCAAATTCTCAATCTCTTATTCTCTTGTCTCCCTTCCCCATAATTAATGTACCATCCAAGACATGTAATAACTCTTCAAAAAATGAAACAATACATAACATGTACAGTCACTATGAATATGACTGACAAAGAAAGCGGACAAAATATACAGTTCCCCAGGTAGACAAAGGAACATCCCTTCAATGCTATTATGTAAAAATGTGTAGAACAGGTGTCACATGCATATTCACATTTTTACATAATAGGAGTGAAGGGATGTTCCTTTGTCTACCTGAGGAACTGTATATTTTGTCCGCTTTCTTTGTTCGTCATGTTCATAGTGAGTACATGTATTTCAGAGGGTTGTGGTTGTACAGGACAGTTAGTGCACTCAACATCAATCAGTGTGTGTACCGTAATGAGTCAGCTTGCTTGCCCACATGACATCCCATCTGTGAAATCCATCTAATCAATAATACTACCATGACGCTTCATGATGCTATTCTACTCAGTCAAGGACAATCTTGGTCAGTCTTCCCTGGATACCGTACTTACTGTCAGCGTGACAACACTGGGATCGTGAACAGTTCAGTTTTTGCACCTCTGCACTGTGTTTAGTTTGCAGGCACAAGCCCTAGTCAGTCGGTATGCGTAACATGATAGTGTCTGAACAGTTAAGACTATGCAAACTGCATGGTCAACTACAACAATAGGCTCTGTACGTTAGCTGCTCCTCATTTGACACAGTACCAGAGAGGGAGAGACTCAGAGGCCCGAATTCACAAAGCAAGGTTTGAGCTCAGACCGGGTTTGAGGTCAAACCTCCTTTTGTTTCGCCAAACCTCCTTTTGTTATTTACAAACCAGGTTTGTAAATAACAAAAGGAGGTTTGGCGAAACAAAAGGAGGTTTGAGCTCAAACCCGGTCTGAGCTCAAACCTTGCTTTGTGAATTCGGGCCAGTGAGTGCAAATAGGCTCTGCTGAAGACTTAAAGGAATTTTGCTCATGTGTCAAATTAGGGCCTGTGCCTTCAGACTAATGTTTATTCATTGTGTGAACAATCTAATCATGGTGCTATCTTACTGTGCCAATAACAAGGCAAATTGAATGTTTAACCCATCTGATATATAAATGACATGTAGATCATTAAATCGTCATTAGTCAGTAGCTAAAAATATATTCTTTCTTCAGCCTTATTTTTCACACCTGTCTCTAATCTTTTTAATGTAAATAATCTGTAAAGAGCATTATCTCTGTAAAATTATATAATTTAGCACCCTTCTGGTACTCAATAGATAAAAATACAAGGTACAATTCACTGCAACAAACTGACTTGGTTTCACTTTGTTTACATGATACATTGGGATTGTACTCAAAATGCTCTTGTGAGATCACTTCAATATGACAGGTTTCAAGTGCTTTAACCCACAACAAGATGAACAAAGGAAGAAAAAAAAGAAGCAGGTCCGGTATAAAGAGATGAATCACATTTTGTAAGGCATCCAAGCTGCACCTGTACATCATATCTGATTAGTCTGTCGGGTTGTGATGAATCATACATGTATGTATCATGGATATAGACCCTTGGGGCATCATTGCCTCATAACACTTGAACAGGAGAATCATATCACAGAGCTTGCTGATTCAATAGGATTGAATGTACTGTACATGTGTTAAGTGATTCAAGTTCCAACACAGTATACTTGATGTAGGCTCCAGTGACGATTGCTCTCTTATACTTGGTAGGTCCATGTATACTGTACACTAACCCAATTCTTAACTTCAACCAAGGACCAAACTCTTGGCCTGACTCTATTAACCCTAGGGCAGTGGCGTACCTGGGGTACTCCGTCAGGGGGGGCAAGCGACCGAAACAAACAAAAAAGGCGATGCTAATTTTCACTTCTGGCGAGCGAGCGAGCGAGCAAAAAAAATCTTTAAGTAACGTTTGGTATATAAACTGGTATTGTTGCAAGTTGGGGGTGGGAACATTCACTTGTTAGCAACGTTAATTTCATTTTTTTGCAAACTAGTGTAGCGAGCAAGAAAAAAATCACTTCTTTTTTAATAATTGCCACTTAAACTTGGTTCAATTGTCCCATGCAGGGCGCGGGAACAATATTGTGTTTAGGGTGATTGTTGCAGGTAGGGGGCGGGCACACTCGTGTTTAAGGCAATGTCAATCCCATTTTGGCGGGCAGGCAACCCCCTACATTTCTCTTTTTAATGATATTGTAGCAGGTTAGTGGTGGGCACATAATTCCACGAGCTAGCGAGCGTAGCGAGCGTAGCGAGCGAAAAAAAAAATCACTTTTCTTTTATAGGGAAAATATGGTACATAAAACTTGGGTTCATTGTTCCATGTCAGGGACGTGATTATTAAAAGCGGTGTTAATTCTATTTTGGCGAGCGAGCGTAGCGAGCGAGCAAAAAAAATCACTTCTCTTTATAGGGAAAATATGGTATATAAACTTGGTTTAATTGTTCCATGTCAGGGACGTGATTATTAAAAGCGGTGTTATTTCTATTTTGGCGAGCGAGCGTAGCGAGCGAGCAAAATTTTTGTAATGATAATTGGTTCATAAATTTCAGATTTTTTTGTTGCAGGGCAGGGCTTACACAATCATGTCTAAGGTGATGTTAATTCCCTTTGGCGAGCACGAGCACACCAAAACTTCTTTGAATAACGTTTCGTACATAATTATTAACTGGTTGTTGCAGGTTGGGGCGGGCACGTTAGCGGTGTCAATTCCATTTTGGCAAGCGAGCATAGCGAGCAAGCAAAAAAAATAAATTCTCTTTTAATAGAAATTAATAAATAAACTTGTTTTTATTGGTGCAGGTCAGGATGGACGCAATCGCGTTTAACGCGATTCAATTCCTTTTTGGCGAGAGGGCGAAAAAACTCTTCCATTTTTAATGATATTGTTGCAGGTCAAGGGTGGGCACAATTGTTTCCAAAGCAATGTCTATTCATATTATTCGCGAGCGAGTATAGCGAGCGAGAAAAATGAATTAGTCTCTTTTAGTAACATTTGGTACATATATTGTGTGTTATTGTTGCCATGGTTGCAGGTCGGGGCCCGTCGGGGCAGGCACAATTGTATTCTAGGCAATACTAATCCTTTTCTCTTTTCAGGGGGACGAGGAAGTGAAAACATTTAATACAAAATAGGCTAGCAAGCAGTTCGCGCCAGCGAAGAGTTTCAAATTTGTTATATCACTTATATTTTCCTATTTTCATTTGTTTTAATATTTCAGGGCCGTATGCTAAATATTTTTCTGATGGGGGAAGGGGGAAAGATGCGTTAAAAGTTTTCGAAGAATCTCAAAAGCAAAAGGAGTGAAGGGAGTTCGAGCGACCGAACTGGTCATGAGGGTACTTTTGCATTTTCAAAAGTAGAATTGAAGGATTTGGTATAGGCCTACACTACATTTTCAGGAAAAAAACTGTACGATTTCAAAATATCTGGGGTCAACTGCCCCTCCCCTGGTGCTTACGGCCATGTTCTTTATTTTTTTCCCCATTTTTATTCCTTTCCTTTTCTTTTCCCTTTTTCTTCCTTTTCTCGTCTTCTTCCTTTTTTCTTTCCTTTTTTTCCTTTTTTCTCTTTCTTTCCTTTTTTCTTTCCTTTTCCTTTTTTCTTTTTCTCTCCTTTCCCTTTCTTTTCTTTTCTTTCCCCTTTTTCTTTTTTTCCCCTGGAGCCCGTCAGGGGGGGCACTCTGCCCCCCCTGCCCCCCCCCATAGGTACGCCACTGCCCTAGGGCTAACCTAAACTAAACTAAACTAACCTAAAACCAAACTGGAACCATAACCTTACATCTTTGATGACATAAATCCCACAACTTTTGTCACCTTAGCAAATGTCTGATATTCCTCAGGTCATAATTGCCTAACATCAAAACATGACTCTAATGACCTCATTAATCAATATGATGAGATTGATGACTTACCTGGTTGAGCCATTCTGCCCTCTCGATGTCAGGAAAGTATACCTGAAACATAACAAATAAAAGGTAATATGTAAGTAAGCATGTTCAATTGATTTTAATATAAATATTTTCAATGTACAACTTCACTTTTAAACAGATATGATATGACACACAAAGATTTTTTTCCACTGAAAGTGATAATCGTACTGCTGATTGCCAAAGGAAACTTCACAACTTTTAAAATGAAAAAAATGTATGCTACATCTAAGTGTGTTTTTATAAAGAAGAACAAAAAACTGTTGTACTTTTATCCTAGTGGCCTCTTGCATTAAGGGGTAAGCTCTAATGTAATTTCCACTATGTATTTCCTACATTATACTGTACATACGGTAGATTATTTATATGATCATGAATAGTTAAAAAATAAAGTGTTAATTTTCCAAGTTACCCACCTCTTTACCACTTAAAATGAAATACTGGATTTTTCTGGGGGAAGATGATGGGAGTAAAATATAAATCTACAATATTTTATCTTTTGTACATACCCACAGAATTCAAGAGTGCAATTTTTTCTGAAATATTTTTCTAAGAAATTTTTCAGCAGTGGAATTACTACAATAAGTTTTATTTTATAATGGCTTCAAAGGAAGAGTACCGGTAGGTGGATGAAATTTAGCTGTATTCAGGTTGCATAGAACTATCAAACTGAAATAACACTTATTCTCTGTTTACAAATAAATAAGAGCTAGATTCGCATGTCAATGCACATCGCATCATCCCCTCCCCGTTCCTTCTTTTCTTACCCTTGAAACTGTACCAATCAATACATGTAATAATAAAACTAAGGTTTTCACACTCCACTGGTCAACTTCAGCCATAATCAGTTGACCCTTTATTACCTATTGCAAAGAATTGTCAATGCAAGCTCTATTAGGAATTTAGGATTCCTTGTATATTTGTATCATGGAATTTCAGATAAAACATCAAGATATAAAATATCAAGAGATAACAGTGCAAGAGATAACAGTGATCAGTACATGTACATGTATAAGTTTCCTTTTTTTTCCTTTTCATTATATTTTCTCACAGGTGTTTAAGTCATTAAAATTAACACTTTAGGCAGTAGATTCAACCTTCCATTATTCAAAATGTATATTGGTTTCACCAGGGAGGTGAGACTTTCACTTAGATTTTGGGAAATTTAAAGTCAGTATTGAAAGTGAATGACAACCTTGTAGACATGTGATAGGTGGATCTTACATTTACCTTGAATAACGATTCACTGAACCACTGAATACACTTTTTAATGAAAAGCTTTATCAAATTTCAAATCACCCTAGCAAAATATGTAGATAATGAAAGTCGAGAGGCCACTTTCGAAGACAGAAACAACTCTTTATCTTCAATGGTAATTCTGGTGTATCATGATTATTACCAGGACTACCGGTACTAACCTGACAAAGCTCAAATTATCTGGAGTCTATCTTTTAATCGTTTTTGCATGACTTTGTCCAATTTTCATAACTCACCAGTTTCCATGCAGATCATTGTCCATTGTTACAACTTATTTTATTTAAACAAATTAAAGGTTGATGTTAGTAGCAGGAGCATGAGAAAGTTTTCTTTCTTTTTTTTTCTGAGAAAAGGCAATGAGTAGTTGGGTATCTCTTGCTTGAATGTTTTAAAAAGCCAGGTTTCGTAATTCAATTAAAACTGAGAAATATTGAGGATGGTTATCATATTCATAATCCTATTCATAATGGCTTGGCTTGAGTTGGGTATCCTTCCATTTCTAGTCTATCGTTGATATTTGGAGCTTATATTTTAATAAAAACAAAACCTTTGAAGCTTGTATATCATGAAATAACAGATTTCAATATCAAATTAGTCTTTAGAAAAATTAAAAAAACATACCTATGACGGCAAATCCCAGGTTTCGTAATTCAATTAAAACTGAGAAATATTGAGGATGGTTATCATATTCATAATCCTATTCATAATGGCTTGGCTTGATCTTGAGTTGGGTATCCTTCCATTTCTAGTCTATCGTTGATATTTGGAGCTTATATTTTAATAAAAACAAAACCTTTGAAGCTTGTTTATCATGAAATAACAGATTTCAATATCAAATTAGTCTTTAGAAAAATTTAAAAAAACATACCCATGACGGCAAATCCCGAACTACACCGACAATGCTATCTCGCTCATTCTCCACGGCTGCCCTGGCCAGTGCGGTCGACCGGGCTTTGCGGCGGCTGGCGCGATCTCTCCACACACTGACGACAACAATGAGCAGCAGCCATAATACACTGAAGCCGAGGTATCCGACAAGCCAAACCATCAACAAAATTCCCAAAATGAAGCCATGTTTTCTGATCGATGACAGCAAATCGGTGCTCTCTTCCACCTTGATATTCCGGACAGGTTCAGTGGTTGTTTCATCTCCCACCGTTTCTGAATTTCCAGGTACCATCCTGAAGACGAAATTCCGCAGAGTCTCCGCCGCATCTGCAAACAACAGTGGTAGATGGAATTAATAGAATTTGAAATCGATTGTTGGTATAACGCGCGCGCGCGTTCGTGGGCCGACCGTTTATTATGTGTCAATCAATCACAAAGCTTCTTGTTTGGGGGAAAGTGCGGTCAAGATTAAAACCATCGTCTCGGCGCGGCGGGCCAAGGTAGTAACTCCTTGCATACACCATGTTCACCTCCTTGGTACATGCCGCGGTTGTCGATCTAGGGGAATTTTCTATTTCAATCACAGCTGGACAACCAGAATATTATACCCAATGACTATCGCTTTGAGTTTCCAGTTTAGCCTTTTTTTGGTGATCATCAAAGGCGTATTAAAGTTATATAAGACCAAGGCAAGACAAGAAAAGTAAATATTTGAATGTGAGAATATGTGGATTGACTGATCTTGAAAGGGCTCCCTGATATAACCAATGGACCTACATAACTTATAAGTCATATCCCTACCAATTTACCATATTAAAAAAACTACAAGAAAATGGTTTACAGGTGCCCTCCCCCCCCCCCCCCCACAACAAAAATCTGCTGGGGGCACAGGACCACAATATTATTCATTCATTTAATAACATAACTTTGATTTATATTGAGAATGACCCCATACAAGTTTTGATTTTACACAAAAAATTGTATTGGACTTGGAGTTTGAATTTTAATTTTTTTTTTTAAGGGGGGGGGGGGGTTCTTCCACGAGATTTATATTTTTGTTATTTGTATAAAATTATCATCATATGGTTGTTGTTGCTGGTGTATTACTTTTTCCCCCTGAAATGTAAGATGTTAAAAAAAAAAAAGAGCCATATGGTAGTAGGGCCTATACGTAAATTTTTGCTACTGTAATTTGACATTATTTGTGTCTGAGCGCAGGGTTAGTTCTCATGCGAAATGGTGGGGGGGGGGGGGGGAGTCCCAGTGGTGGATTCAGTGGCGGGCATGGGAGTGAGGTCCCGAAATAAGTTGATAAAGGGCATAATATTCAGACAGACTGTCAGACGTATTAACAGGGGTAGAACGTTTTAGAACATTACTGTCCAAGAGTGCTATATGAAGCTTGTATATTTAAAAGATTTATTGATGTATAACCTACTGGGCCTCCGAATGAAAGGAGCTGGCCAGTCATATAGTTTCAATATCGCTCTTCCCACACCGGCACCACCATATTCTGTATACTATACCACGTATACCGGAGATTCAAGCTGGCTTAACAAACCATTTTCATAAGTTTAATGCACAAATCTTAAGTGCCTCGTTCATATTTATTTATTCCAATCACCTGTTACGAATAATTGTATTTCAATCGTCAGAATGCAAATTGCATATTACATTACGTGTTGTAAGGTAAGACAAGTCATGATCTTTGTTCTACCAAGGAGGTAGGATTAATACATTGAAACGAGGCTCTTAACAAAACTTTGTGCATCAATTATTATTGTATTACGAAAATGAGCGTGCTGAGTGAAAGTAACATTTGGGTCTATATTATTATCTTTCAACAGAGAGGTCGCTCTGCAAGATGGCAAGCTCTGTGAATATTGGAGACAATGATGTTCAAGGTATACAGGGGGAGGGAGTACTAAAAAAAAAAAAAAAATTGCCCCGACATTAAAATAAAAGGTTAAAACGTGTTTTTTGGCCCGGGGGGGGGGGGGGACAAGTCTATTTCAGTATTACTATTTAAAGTTGCTAAATCCCTAATATTTTGTCTATTTCACATTACACATTATACATCTTTCTTGCGTGTCCCTAATTTAGCGTATCTATCACAGGGTGTGGTCGACGTATGCTCCCCATAGCTCCGTCTGCAGGCAGTCACTGTTTTAGAAGATATTTGCAGGGGGAGGGCTGGGGTTCTTGCTTTCATTATGAGTATGCCGCGCTTAAATTCATTTATTGTCACACACATCACCCACTCCCATTTAGCTATTTCTCAACTAGTTAATCAAATCGAAAGAACGAGATCAAATTATCTTAAAAACTGTTTGTATTTACATTCCAAAGACATTTAATAATAATATTCCGCTTTTTATATAGCTTGTGTCTCTAAGCGCTTTACAGACTAAACATTATTTTCCCATCCGTGCTTTGATAAGGTCTAAATGATATTTATTTTGCAAAGTAAGATAGTTATCTCTGTTTATCACAAAACAAATATTTACAGATAAACTGCGGACCTACAAAATGATTATGATGCGTCAATAAAGGCCTACCCCTTTTTGTAAGACCGAGTGCAAATAATCATTAATACCTAAACATTTATTAATTATTACTTCTTCAAGTGATAAAAGCCATGGGTCTTAACTTTTTACCTGTCTCGGTATAGGCAATTAGAGCAAACAGTGGGCCACCACATTCATTTTTGTCACACGTACAATGGGTGAAATATACTATAAAACAGTTGTACAGTCTATTGAATTTTTAATGAGTGGTGAATTTGTGTTTAAACAGGTAAAGTCACGAATTATATCAGTCAGTGGAGGATCCAGGGGGGTGGGCAGGGGCCGGGCCCCCTCCACGTGTAAGGGCTGTGCGATTTTTCGAGGACCAAAGAAATTAGTGCTTACTAACCCCCGAATTATCGGCCGGCTGTTTCGCCACTCACGAATTGGACCCCTCCTCAATCAGATCAATTCAATCTCTTCCAATATTTCACAGATACAGCAAACTTCTGATTTACGTACCTTTTTCAATTTTATGCCGCATTGCTCTTGCTATGACAATTGGCACAGACCGCACTTTGTTTTCCAGTATATGAGAATCCATATTCATTTTCCTACAACGACAAATTCAAGAAAATGCAATTCACTGCACCTCGTTCTTAGAGGAAGCAACATAAGAAGAAAAACTATCCTGGTTACGATAGTTACATTTGCGTTTCCGTTTATATTTTAAATCTCAATAGTGACAAGTTTTATGACAGGCGTCAAAATTGTGGCAACTAAACTGACAGAAAATCCGATATCTAACTGAAAAGTAAAAGTTGCATGTAGCCTTTAATATTCCGGATAGGGAAAACGGAGATTATTTTGTACATTATGTTCCTGGTATTAGTTACGGTATATGTTGTGGCATATAGCGGGTATCCAGACATTGGGAGGGGGCACCGGTATCATGGTGGGGGCGGCACCGTTACTCAGTGGATGAAATGTGAATTATCATTCAAGGCCATTGATTAGAATAAGGGGTGCACGGGAGAGGCTCATTATCATCTTTTTTATGTTCTCTTTTCCCCTCTTCCTTTCTGTCTCTTTTTTTTTCACTTCTGTTATAATGTGAGGGGGGAGGTGCCCCCGACCCCACGTAAATACGCCACTGTGTGACATTTTGAGGTCATTGATTGGTATTGAATTTTGTGATTGAAGTGTCAGGTTTCAATTACCATCAATCATTGTCTTAGCCACATTCAAGGGCGTTTTCGCAAGTGGAAAAGAGACCTTAACACATTTTGCATATAATTTATAGCACTGATCCCGTGTCTACGGGTTTGTGGGAGGGCACGGTCCTGGGAGTGTTCCCATGCAACTAAATGGCGAAAAATGCCATAGAGATATAGAGAGGGGAAGAAAAAGAAAGGAGTGACACACCCCCCATCACCGTTGGCCTTCTTGAGTCAAACAGGTGCCCCCCCCCCCCCTCGATAGCTGGATCTACACTACGCCCACTACCCCGAGGGCATTGCAAACACAATTGATTCTGTCTTTTTTTTTAATGATATGGTCAAAGTTATCATGGAGTATTAAAACAATAATGTGATATATCCACGGTTATCCCCAAAGTGGAATGGGGTGGGGGGGGGGGGGGGCACAGCATATGGTGTTACCACAGTTATTCTTCTGATAAAGGGGGATCTACATTGTCCATACGATGAAACTGGCCCAAGGAAGAATTCAGCATCACTTTTAATAAAATTCAAAGGCCTATTGACTCCCTCACACTAATAGTTACTTTCTGGAGGTCACCTTTTGTCATCACGATCTTGCATACTACAATTAATTTTAGGGCAATCTCTTTGTCAAAAATGCTGGGATCCAAAAGAGAAGGCGTAACATAAACTAATATCAACCACGATGGCCTTGAGTATTATGCATAATTATGCATGCATTAAATCCTGTTATGATTTAATCACGTGCACAATGTATTCTCTTTAGGGTTAGGGGTAGTCATAAATGACATTCAATTTTCCTGATTGGGCTAATTTCAGGCATGAATTCAACTAGGCCATAATCGTAACATTACCTTATTGAGTTGTAACATATTTGAAAATCAAATAAGAATAAAAAGTGCTTTTATTTTAAATCTTGATTAAGTTTGAGTCTTGTATAACTATAAAAGTTATCACGCATGCAGGTATTACAGAGTGCCCCAAATTCTATAAAAGGCGAACACGTATACAAACCCACTTAATACTCCTCTTTTGTGCTCATACACAAAAGAGAGGAGGATTTTGTTACCTTGTATTTAAAGTGATAAACGATTCCCCACCCCACCACCCCCCCCCCCCCCCAATCGGTAATTTAGGTTTGGATTGTTCATTGTTGATCATCCAGAGTGTTGATATAAGATATACCTCACTATTTTCAAGTCACCATTATTTATGATTATAGTACGTGAGCCACCTTTTTTTTATTCGGGGGCCTTCAAAAAGGGGGGGGGGCGTCCTTATGTTTGATGCACGCACCACTAGGTCTGATCTACATTCTTATTGAGAGAAACAAACTATATTGGAGGAGCACAGACAATCTGTATTTACTGGGTATACCCAGTTGTTATTGTGCTATGAAAAAATAGACACTGAGAATACAACAGATGCAGTGAGGCAAATTTACCTTTCAAAGTAGGCTAAGGGTTTATACCAAGGATTCTAAATTTGGCTGCAATGCACTCTGTTGAGAAAGAGGACTGTTAAAGCAATCTACTTCGTAGTAGGTCCATGGTTAAAGGTATCAATACACATACGATTTATATCAAATATTCTCTGA